TAATAATTGTCTCTGCCCTGTCAATTTATATATAACCCGACAGGTTCTTCCTGTAAAATCAATTAGGTTCGATGTAAACTGGAGCAACAGAATCACACCCACATTTCCGTGCTTGGTTCTCCAACACCAAATATGGGAAGCTTCCTCTATCGTTTTTTAAACGATCGTGTATTATCGCTTTGATGCGTATGTATACACGTAACGCAATAATGCGAGTAATCGCTTCCTTGCTGCATAATTTGGAGACGAACCAGGGTCACCTAATCTAACTTTGTATACTTTTACAGAGTGCATTTCCTTGAAATAAATTCTTTTTTTGTTTTATTTTTAACTGAACTTGGAAGAAATCTAATTTATAGCTTTTTATTATTGTTTACATTAAACTATGTATTAAATTTATTATTAACTAGCAAAATTAGCGCGCCAAATTGAGTATTTAATTGTTTGTTATAAAGAAATTAAAGATTAATATTATCAATAATAATTTAATTTATTAGAATATTATTACATATTAAATGATAATAATGAAAATTATATATGTTTACAGGCCTCGGATTATACGACTTTTTACAAAAATACGACTTTTATCGACTTATTTTAATAAAATGCGACTTTTTTATTTTTACATTTGAAAAAAAATGTAAATAAAATAAATTTTTTTAGTATAAAATGTAGATCTTCTTCAGATCTTCTTCAATTCAATTATTTAACAAATTTTGAACTAAAATGATTCTTCACTAAATTAATTATTTTTAATAATTTTAATGAAATACATCACAAATTCAATTATATCAAAATTATTTTTCAATTAAAATTTTTATGAAATTTAACAATTGTTTATAATTAAAAAAAAAATATCACAATAAAATTGAATTATTTTTTAAAAATTTCAATTCAAAATAAACTAAAATTCAATTATTACCCGAAATTTTAATTCAAAATCAATTAAAATTCAATAATTATCCAAAATTTTCAATTTAAAATTTAATTATTTACCAAGTTTTCAATTTAAAATGAAATAAAATTCACTTATTTTCTAAAATTTCTATTCAAAATTAATTATCCAAATTTTTAATCAAAAATGAACTTAAATTAAATTATTATCCAAAATTTCAATTAAAATTCAATTATTTCCCAAAATTTTCAATTCAAAATTAACTAAAATTCAATTATTACCCGAAATTTTAATTCAAAATCAATTAAAATTCAATAATTATCCAAAATTTTCAATTTAAAATTTAATTATTTATCAAGTTTTCAATTTAAAATGAAATAAAATTTAATTATTTTCTAAAATTTCTATTCAAAATTAATTATCCAAATTTTCAATCAAAAATGAAGTTAAATTAAATTATTATCCAAAATTTCAATTAAAATTCAATTATTTCCCAAAATTTTCAATTCAAAGTGAACTAAAATTCAATTATTTTCCAAATTTAAAATCAAATAAAATTTCATTATTCTCAAAAATTAGAATTCAAAATTAATTGAATTTTCAATAATTTAAATTTAAAAGCATCTAAAATTTAATTATTTCTAAAATTTTCCATCGAAAATTTTTTTTTTTGAAATTTAATAATTTCAATTATAACTCTAAGAAAATTCAATTATTTTTAACTATTTTAATAATATTCTTTGAAATTTTAACTATCTGAAACCATTTTTCAATTAAAAATGATTTTCAAATTATTGTATTTTGTCCTCATTTTCTAATAAATTTTTAGTGAAATCATCTAAAATTTTAATTACAAAACACTTAAAGTTTCAATTAATTTCAAAAATCTCAATTTTAAATCTTTAAAAATTCAATTAAATTTAAAAAATGTTTTCCAAAAATTGTTTGATAAATTATTTTTAGTTCTGTAAAATTTAATAATTGTTTGAAAATTAACAATATCTTTTGAAATTTAATAATTTCTAACAATTTCAACTTTAACCCTTCGAAAAAGATTATTATTAAAAAAAAAATTTTATTTAAATATCTGTAAAATATTTTTGTTAAAATAAAAAACAAATCCACTTTTTTTTGGAATATAAATCGACTGAAACGACTTTTTTGTGTCTTTAAGTTGATTCGAGGCCTGTGTTTTTATAATTAATATTTAATAGGTATTCGTTGGCCCCTGGTACCTTAAAAATTAATTTTTTTAAATTAATATTTAATAGGTATTCGTTGGCCCCTGGTACCTTAAAAATTAATTTTTAAAAATAAATTTTTTTCAAATTACTGTCTTGTACGAAATTTCCTGGCGCATCTTTTTTCTCATCATAAATTTTTTGTATTTGTATACAATTTTTGAATCAATATACAACTTTACAAAAAATTTCGTTGGTAAACGTTGTGTATTTCAGCTTCGAGAATTGAATTTTCGAATTTGGAATTTTAAAGAAACTTATTCCGGAATTTGAAAACACAATTATACAACTTTGGCAAAAATGAGAAAAAGAATTGTAAAAATTTGACGTCATAAGATTACTATTCAACAAACACGTGAAATCAGAAAAGGCCAACTTCAAGTTAGGACAGAAGGACAGACCAAGCATTTTATTATTATATAATAATAATTATTCAAATTGTATACATATTATCATTTCACTTTTAAGTTGTCCTATTTTAATTTAGTATTTATGGATCAAATTAGTAAATTAATAAATAATAAATTTTAATTTAGTTTGGTTTTTAAAATGAAATTAAAAGAATAATTTTTTAGTTTAATGTTTGAGAATTAAATTTTTGTAAAAATTTTCAAATTAACAATTATGTCATTATTTGAAAAATAAAGAAAAAAAAATCGATGAGACTTTAAAATAATTGAATTAACTTGATTCCACATATGGCGTTGACCTTAACCAAGATCGAGGGGAATAATTATTGCAATGACCTAGTGAAGGCGTGTGCACTTCTTTTGCAATCAATTTGGTGTTAATTAAGCACTTCACTTTCAATCAAGACTTATTTCCGTCCGGAAATTATTAGCCGAGACTTATTATTAATTTATAAAACAACGTTAAAATGAGAATTTATAATTTTTCCTTTAAACTTATTTAAATGTATTTTTTTTTAAACAGTTTTTTTTTTGCAGAAGCCAGACTCAAGTTTATAAACCCAAATTGGAGAAAATCTGAAGCGAGATGACTATATACGTGTCAGGGATGTTTGTCAGTACATAAAATGAGTGATTAATTTAAATGAAACTAATTATTCAATTGATTAATTAAATTAAATAATTAATTAATTAAATTAAATAATTAATTATTATTTAATTTGAATACATGATAAAGATTTTTACCGAAATGTGAATTTTATCGAGAGAAGACCAATTTTTATGGAGTGAGAATAAAGAGTAATAAATATTAAAACATCAAGATAATTAACTGTAATAAAATGCTCTTAATTGCCTATTACATTTCTAGTTTTCCTAATGACACTGGGAAACGCAAACAAGCATTCTGGAGTATCGCTAAATAGATCTGCATTCAACAGAGAAATCACAAAACAAGAATACATTTCACGCAATTTGAGCGTGCATGACAAACTTGCCCTGAAAATCAAGATTCTTAATTTCCAATTTTTTTTTTGTCTTTTTTTTGTTTTCTATAGATTTTATCTTTTCTTATTTTTAAACTAGTTTTATAAATCTGTTTAGCCATGCATATAGAAATGTAAAAAAAAAAAAAAATTTCCTCTCTATTATACCATGGAAAGGCATATATTTGACTCTTTAAAAATATTTTCAAAAGCATTTCATCTTTTGATGAATATATAAAACTTCCGGCTAAAAATTTCTATCTGTGGAGTACGCGTATATATGAGTCACAGAAGTTGTATGACAAGAGAGTTCGTGTCTCCCTGGTATTCCACACGCGTTACCAAGAATTTATCACTTCTATATATTTTCACAAGAATGAATCATTGAGTGTAATAATTTTTCTATGGTAGTAATTTTAATTAGCTCATATGCATTTTATGAATCACATATACTAAAGTCGAATATTTTTTTTGGTAATTCATTGAAATTTCAATTTAAAAATCGATTTTACAAAGTAATAAAAAAAATTATGAAAATCATTATTTTGATTGATTATAATTATAAATAATATAATAATGAATTAGTCAATTATTATAAATTAATAATTACATCAATTATAATTAATTACTAATTATTGAATGAATTATATTTAGTTTATTCATTACAAGTAAATAGAGGAAGATAATTATAAATTAATTATATATAAATATTTATTAATCTACTTTATAAATTGTCGCGATCAAATTTCTTATTAATAACGCTGTTTATATTATTTTTGGATTTATTTTGAAGGACATTTTCAATTCATTTCCTTATCCGTGCTTTATACAGTTCGATGAAGTACTCAGTGACGCAACACCGAAACAGAATGTCCATATATGGGCATGAATGTTCTTATCTGTTTCTTGCCAATTAAGTATTGTTAGATAAACGTTTTTTTTAAAAAAAAACATGTGTGACTAGTGATATAACTCTAGATATACCTTGAAAAACATATTATTTAAACAAATAAAAATTTACTGTCAAAAGTTTGATTAAATTGATTTTTCAAAATTTACAAAAAAAAATCAAAAATTAGATATACAAAATATTTGCATAATATATTATTTCTCTAATTAGTAGTATAGTTTTATAAATTAATAAATTATCTTCCTATTTACCGTATAATGTTTTTTTTTCATTTCAATTCAAATTTTATTTGTTATTTTATATAAAATTGCGAAAAAAAAATTGCTAGATATTATCTAATTCGTCAATTGTTTGGTTTAAAATTAGTTGATCTGAGGGCACCACTATCCAAACGTTTAAATTCAACTGGAAGCAAATCTTTAGTATTATCTGTCGATAATACAGAGTAGCTATTTTAATGTAAAAATCATTACAACATTTACAGCGGGAAATTCAAAAATTCACCAATCAGTGATCGAGGAATTTTGAACAGCTGTCGCACTCTAGTGACAGTTGATGAAAATAAAAAATAATCTGCTATAAGGAAGTTTCTGACTTCTCTCTGAATTTGATTGTTTGACATTTTTCTCATAAAATCAAGAATTAAACAAAAATAAATCTCGTGAAATAAAGTTATTTGGTTTCTCAAAAATGGTATATTGTTAGAAATTGACACCATTGGAAGTTTAAATATTAAATAACAGGATGACTCACGCAAATAGGTTAGTTCGTGTTTATATTTTTTGACATCTTTGACAATTTATTTTGGAGACTTTGGTGATGTGTAGTGAAATGATTTAAAAATTATATATTCTCATATAATAAAAAGGTGTATTCTATAGTAGAAAGTAAAACCACAACTATTTTAAGAGGAATTTCTGAAACAGTTGTTTATATTACACAATTTTCTTCGAAATTTTTTTCGAGTTACGAAAGTCAGACTACTTTCATGGGAATGACAAAGAAGGCAATCACTACGAGTCTAGTAGTTTTCTCAAAAATTAAACACACCTAATCTCTGTTATATGAAAACAATGCTGCTGTTAAAGCGCAATTAATTAATTTCTGAGTCATAATTTTAAATGCGCATTTTAAACAATATTATTTTTATTACGAATGCAGATGAAAAATTAATCTTTAAATAATTATTTTACAATTTAAAAAAATATTTGCCAGAATTGTCAAATACATTTAATATGCAACGGGACAAAAAAATGCATTTATTGATTTATTTACTAACTTTAATCTAAAAAATTAATTTTTCCAGAAAACGTGGCCGCAACGCAGAAGAGGAAAATTCCAGCGAGTTCATGCCATTGAGTAAAAGGATCAATAATCTACACATAAATAATTTCTCACGTTTGCCAGAAACGGCATCTGAAAAAATGAACTCACAATGGGAAGAGCATAATTTAATAGCATCATCAAATCATTCAGAGCCATCAAGAAGTCCCTCGAGCGATGGTTACAGTTCCAGTCAAAGCTATACATCAGAATATAGTCCTGATTTAAATCCCAGTCAAAATCCTTATTACTACGAAACCAACAAACTTTTATATGATCTTTACGTGGAACGAATGCAAAGGATTAATACACTTTACTGATATTTCGGTTTGTAACATCATATCATCATATGTAAAATGAGCAAAAAAAACATGTAATTCTATCAGTTTGAATTACAAATATTATTTAAAGAATATTTGACTCGTTAATCAAGAGTCAAAGAAAAAAAAAATTAGATAAATTGTCAGTTTAAGAATTCTTGTGCTTATACATATATTTTTGTAATGATTAAACTTTATTAGTTAGATTTATAAAAAAAAAATGTCACTAAGAGACTGCTAAAAGTAATAATATTACTGACAGAGATATTTCTCTTTTTAGAACACATTAAATTACATGTGCACTTTAGATATAATTTTTCAGTTCCCAAGATAAATTAATGATATTGTTAACTTGTCAATTATTGTCATTATAAATTATTTTTTCTAAGTGTCAATGAGAAAATTTTGAAAACAGTATAAACAGAGTTTATTGTGGTTCTGTAACTAATTTAATTGTAAAGAAAATTTTTGTCTGTGTACTTCTAAGTAAGATACTAATGTAATTAGAAAATATGTAAATGAAATTAATTTAAATTAAATAGACAAAATACATTACTGCAGTTTTTTTCTATTTAATTTCTAAAAACTTTAAAAATAATTTCTAAACTAATTCTGTAGGAATTAAATTATAATTCAATATTACAGAAATTTTCTTATGGAGTATTCAAGGGAGTAATGGAAAATTTCAAGGACATTATGGGATTATTTCACAATAACATTTAAATAAATATTTTTTTTTGTTTTGTTATTAAAGTATAAATTTTAAAATTATTTATTGATCAATATAAATCTTATTAGATAAAAATTTATTTTTTTTTATATAAAAAATTACGCTTATAAAATAAAATTTCCCGCCTAAGTAATTGTCGATTAATCGTTTTATAACTATCATCAACAAACATTTACAATCGACTAACAATCAGCTGGATTTCGATAGCTGCGCACGCAGTTATTGCTTTTTCCTAGAGCGAAACGAATGAAATTGTTAAAAAGAGAAAGTAAGTGAAGTGTTGTTTTTTCATATTAATAATTTGAGGTGTGAAATTTTAATATAAGAAAGATATTTAATTGTCTTTTTTTCTAAAAGAGTTTTTTTTTTAAAAGAATATCGATGGGCCAAAGTTGTATATACTGATGCGCAGGCGCGGTAAACTTTACACGCACACACGTCGCAAATACAACTACCGCCATAGTTAGGTCGAATATTAAAATAGGCTTTCGTTCATTGGAAGAAAAAAAAAGGGAATTTAAAGTACAACTAAAGAATGATGTCAAGCCGTGTAAACGTTCTATTCCTGGTGAATAGTCTCGTAAACGTTGTCCACGTAAAATTTCAATTTCTGAACATTACAGTGGCGTAGGACTCTCTCATTGACGAAACAACTGACACGACATATAACGTGCCGCCGGTGGATGTGTACCGTTAACTTGAAAATTCATTCCCCGTTGGTCAAGCCTACGCTCTCTCTCATCGCGTTCAAGAGCACTCAGATCAGAACATCGAAAGCAGCGTGTTGAGTTTTATCAAGGCAGTGTTATAATATGTATGTACAAGAATGTGTTATAAGTGATTTGTTACGATTCACAGAAATTGAATGACGTGTGCAGTTGGGAATTGCAAATTTTTATCGGGACCGAGTTAGGACGGGCTCTCATAGAAATGAGAAAGTTGCCGTCACTTTACTGAATTATTGGGAACGCGCCACACGCTAATTCTCGAAGAGAACAGCGCACCAGTTGCGGTACACAAACCACAGAGTTCACAGTCATTGTGTGGTAAGTAGGACAAAATAATTCCAAAGTAAATTTTTTTTTTTCATGCGTATGGTATTACTCAAAAGACGTGGTGCATCAAGAATATTGTTATTGTAAACTTGTCGTTAACACTCGGAGTGTTTTTATCGAGAAATTGTGTTTAAGGTTAGATAAATAACCTGGTGACGATTGGGAGAGAAACCGCGAAACAGTGGCCACAGAGAGCACCCACCCCAAGACACTAAAATCGTCGCGGGGCCCTCGCCGTGGCTCTCGGCCTGGCTCGAGCTGCTAGCTTTGGTGGGGTGGTTGGAGGTGCGGACAGTGGTTGAGAAGCTGGTGGGGTTGGAAATTGCGTGGTGGTGGGTGCTCGCCGAGGTCTCACCGAGGCCCCTCCGTGGCATCTCTCTTGCCTCTAACCCATCGAGGTGGGGGTGTAAACAACAGCCCTGTGCCTCTACTATACTCTGCCTCCAATTCGTTTCGTTTCATTTCCTACCATTTGAACTCACTGTCGAGCCTTTGCTTTCCTCCACTTCCTCTATTTACCAGACTGGTTGTTGCCTATAGCCCCCACGAGGAAAGGGATTCATTGACATTGCCAACTAGTTGGAAACCTTAGGGTAGGAGGTGAAAGTGGAGGTAGAAGATTCGAGGGGGGCTTTTCACACTTTGGGGTGTTTAGCTTTCACAGAACTTGCAACATCTTGATCAGTCAGTATGTGCCTTTTGGCATTTCATCATGGCGGACTAATGACGTGTCGACCAACGCCCAACTCATGATTAGAAGCTTTATATTATTTTATAAATTTATTTTATTTATATTCAAATGCAATTCGTTTTTTATTTTGAATTTTTTTTTTTTTGAAAAAAATTTTTTTTTTCTTTTATTTGTTTTCCTTTTTAGGTATATATGAAATAAGTTGTAGGATTGAGGTTGACACGCGTCCTTCAACGATCCGCCATTACGACATGCGCGTCTTGCGAAAGCCTCGTTTGAGTCCAGTAACGGAGAGGCGTCTCACGCCACCAAGTTGTGCTCTCTCTTTTCTGGTGTTCACAGACAGGAAAAAACGACGCGTCATTTAACTTATTCCAAATGTTGGTGCTTGAGGAAATAATTCAAATTCGTAGATTTTGACATTTTAATAAAAACATTGTTGATTCAGTCGATTAGAAGAAAATTGTCATATTTCAAAGTAAAGTCAGTAAAGTCTTCTGTTTAATATAGAGCTCTCAGGGAATTCTAACCTCAAAATGTTGCATCAGCAGGTAAGTGTAGAGAGAAACTTGTGACGAAGTGAATTGTCCGTGAGTGCACGTGGAGTTTGGGGTTGACCCTTGGCAATGCGTGTAGTAATCTCGGAAGGGAGGCACGTAGTGTCCCACTTGGTGTCGACTCAACGTGTTCTCCACAGATTTTGCTTCCCTCTCCCCATACTTGGGGGATCTCGATGCACGAGGCTCCCTTCTTTTTCTTGACATGCCCCTACCCTTGGATGTGATCTGAACACCCTTCCTTCCTTCCTTTCCTGGCATCTCGTTCGCACGATACGTCCGAAGAGGTGCAAGCCAGAGATGAGAGAGAGAGAAAGAGAGAGAGAGAGAGATAGTATGAGTGAATGCGTTGGTGTGAGAGAGAAAGAGAGAGGGAGAGTGAGTGAGGCCAAGTCCTATTTTGCTTTGTGTTCCCGTTTTCCCACCTATGGGTTTCCTCCTCCTCCGCCACCTCCTGTTCCTCTTGCCCCCTACCATAATCCCCTCGACATTGCGCGCCCACCCCCTACCCCCGTGGGGCACCACGTGGTGGAGTGGGGTGCTATCCTGGGCCACTTCGATGACTATTCTCCCTGCTCCCGGTTCCCCATTGGGGTGGGGACAGGGGTGAAGTGGGGGCTACCTCAACCCCACCCCCATGAAATTGCACATACACAAAGACACAACGCACGAGATCAGTGTACGGCGACGTATCTTCGTCGCGACGTGACGACCGACGACTTTTGACTCTTCTTGTTCATTTCTCAGATAACGAAGATGGCGAGACTTTTGGGAAGGGGGTTGGTCCTGACGGGGGAATTGTGGCTAGGGGGGGATTCGTGACCTTAGGGCATTTAAGCTTCGCTTTGTGTAATCGCTGTGGGTTCCATGCGAAATTCTTTCCTTATTTTTTTCTCTCATCTCTTCTTTCTGCATTATTTTTTTTTTAAACCAATTAATTAAAACTTATTTAATTTTGTCAATTATTTAATAAATTTTAAATTTTTTTTCAGAATTATTAATTGTCAAAGATGAATTTCACTCCATTTCCTGGATTTACAGCCGGTTCACTACCGGCTGGTACAGTGCATCAATTGGCAACAACAAAATTTGCACAAAATTTAACAACTGATGGCCAACAACAACTTGTTGGAGTTTTGACTGGTGGTGAAGGTGGTGTACAATATTTACGACCACTCAATACAAATGGTTTTGCTACAATTTCGGGTGGCAATAATCAACAACAAATAATAACACTTCCAATCACCGTGCCTGGAAAAGATGGAACACAACAACAACAAACTGTTCAAATACAAGTGGTCAATCCAAATGTATCACAAAGTGGAAATAGCGGAGATCAACCCAAATATCATTTAGCGCCAATTTCACTTGGACAATTTCCTCAAGGTGGTGCTACAGTTTTAACAGTCGCTTACAGTCAACAGGGTTCTGATGGAGTGCAAATTCAAGTTCAACCACAAAACACAATTGCCACAACACATACGTAAGTTTCTTTTATTTTTTTTTATCGATAATTTATTAATTAAATAAAATTATTTATGATTTTTTTTTTTAAACAGGTCGGACCAAACGACACAAAGTACATCGACTGCAGTGACAACAAGTTCACAACAAACAATTCAACAGACAGTTCAACTTCCTGGTGCTCCCGAGGGCTTGACTGTTGTCGCACAAATTCCACAGGATCTTATTCTTCGCGAGGGTTTAGAGGATTCAAAAGAAGATATTAAAGAGGGTATTGCAACTACACCGGTAGCCTTAATTAAACGTGGTAGTGGAAAAATTCAAGCAAGTCAAACCAGCGGTGAGGAATTCATTACTTCGATGCCTGCTAGTTGGCAGAGTTTAGCTACACCTGGATCGACAGTCGCTGATTATCTATCCCGATTGCCAGCTAGTACTTTACCTCTTAGTCTTCATCATTTTTTGAAATTCTCAGCAGAAACGATAAAACGAGAGGCAACAATTGAGTCGAGTCCCCTTGGTGCTGATGGATTGGATGCCTCTGGTAGTACCGCTTCGGGAGAACAAGCCGTACAAATAACAGTCGCCGGTGGTGAAACCGAAATAATACCCGACGTTGTTGAAGATACCGAGCCCGGTGCCAAGCCAAAACGCAAGAAAAAATACAAGAAGAAACCACCAAAGCCAAAAAAGCCAAAGCCAGGACAAGTCAGTATTGTCACTGCACTCGATGGAACAACACTATTTTGTTGTCCACAATGTAATATGGCATATCCAGAAAAAGAACTACTTGAGCAACATTTAATTGGTCATAAAATTGAAAGGCGATTTATCTGCGATATTTGTGGTGCCGGATTAAAACGTAAAGAACATTTAGAGAGGCATAAACTTGGACATAATCCTGATAGACCATTTATTTGTTCTGTTTGCATGAAGGGATTTAAACGAAAAGAACATCTTAATTTACATTTTGTCATTCATTCGGGACAAAAGACGGAGGTCTGTACTGAATGTGGAAAGGCCTTTTATCGAAAGGATCATTTACGAAAACATGCGCGATCCCATTTGGCAAAGAGAGCAAAAGAAGATCCACTTGGTACAAATGATATTACACAAAATCAACAGAGTGATCAATCACAACAATCTCAACCCGAGATACAAGCGACAGAATTGCCTCAAATTCAAATACAATTGGGACAGGGACCTTCGGCTCAAATTCATCAAATTTCAGTTAGCCAACAATCCACTGTTGTTTTACCAACGGCTGCTGAAACTGGAGCCATCACTATGCTACATCATCAACCACAACAGCAACAACAACAACATTAGCAGCAGCCCACCGCCCAAGGTCAAACCGGGCGGTATTTCCGATTCAATCATCAACAAGCCAAGGGCAGAGCAAAGTAAAAAGGGCTTGAATTAAAAAGGGCATTCAATATTCTTCGAAAGGACATGACCTTTTTTTTTTTTTTTTTAATTTTCTTAATTGAATTTTGGTATGTATAAAAAAAACGTGTTGAAGTTCAAAGTAAACATATTTTGAAAAAAGAAAAAATATGTTTCACATAATTTCACTTTGTACTGCAACACTTGAAATCTTGTATAAAAAAAAAAAAAGAATAATTCATGAGCCCCCCCAATTGCACTAGTTTTAAAGTTTCTCACTATTTTTTAAAGAATAAAATATTCACAAATTCGCATTTAGAGTTTGATAAAATTAATATATGTTTTAACATTCAATTGTGATAAATCATTTGTTGTATTTCTGTTATGAAATTTGATTTAAATAAATTGAATGTTACAAACGTTTGTCCAACATAATTTTTAAAAACTTAATCCAACTCTCAAGACGAATTAGAATTTTTATGATGAAAAACATATATATATAAACGAAGAAAAGTATATAAATATATATAAAAATATAAATATATTATATAAGAATATATTTTTGAGAGCGCGAACTGGATTCGCTGGGAGATGAAATGAATGCTGTTTAGGATTTTGGCCAAAAAAAAAAAAGAAAAGAAAAACTACGCTCTGCAAAAAAAAAAACATGATAGGACTTGTTACGAAAAAAAATGTAAGGAAAACAATTAATGTCCTCGAATTAAAACTGTAAATATCCATCGAGCGGTTTTTCCACCTACCGGTTTCGAAACAAGACTGCGAAGTGCAAATATGGAATTTTTTATTATATTTTTAATTTATTTCTGCCTTACTTAAAAAGAATAGCTCATAATTAAGAGAGCCACGGTGGGAGAATCTTTTGATAGGTTATTAAGTATTATTTAGTATACGTTACTTTTCTTTATCTATTAACAATCCACTTGTTCTTCCAAAAGTCATTCTACTTATTATTGAGAGAAAAATTACATTGACTTTTGGAAAAGAAAAATTGTATATTAATTTTTTTTTTTTTTTTTTGAATGATTTATATGGATTTTTTTTGTATTATTGAAAATATCTGAGAAAATTAATATATTGAAAATGTAATATAAAGTGGATGATTTAAACTTTAGGAATGATTTTGTTTTAAAGGAGATATAAATGGATTCCGTAAAAGTTTTTTAAACTATATGAAAATATATAATTAATTTTTTGCATAATAATAAAAACTTAATACTGAAATTTCCATTTTTGTGGTTGAATATAAACTTAACATTCAGTGATTATTTTTAGAATCTAGCAAAGGATTCTTCATTTACGAAAACTGAAAACTAACTCTTAATACAATTTTTTTTATCTTATTGAGAGATAAAAAAAAAAAATAAATAAATTTTATTAGATGATTGAGAGACGCATGGCAAATTTAATGGGTGGATGATATCACAAGCCGAAAGTAGGTTCATTTTGCACGCGATTATCTAAGAATTATTTTTTACATTTCCAACTATATAGCTTTTTGTTATTATAAATTGTCAATTTGAGGAAAAAAAATAGAAGAAAATTATTCGCCGTCTAACCAATATCGTGTAATTCACTGTGCTATGCATGCATTTAATTTCCATGCTGTGCGCAAAAAAAAAAAAAGAAACTCGAATAGAAAATTTTTATTCGTATATTCAATTCAAAAGAAGAGTAATGAAATTTTGGTAATCATTCTCATTCAAAAAGAAGAAAGCATTTTAACCCTGTAGTTGATGTTTCATATTTCTAGTAGAAATTTCTTTCATTATGCTACTTCTTACTATATCCGTAAATGGATAAAAAAAAATATGACCTGGTAATCTACCATTGATGTCTGACAAAAATCAACTGTAAATGCGGCGCAAAAAAAAAAAAAAAAAAAAGATTCAAATTTGTAAAAAAGAAGGATAATCGTTTTGGGACGTAAGCCTTTTCGAAGCATTCTCGAAAATGCAGATATATATATTATATATATTAAAAAAAAAGTAAATAAAACAATTTTTATTGTAAGTATCACAATAAAGGCAGTGGGTATAGATCTACGAAAAATATATAACTATTATTTTATTAATAATGTAGCTATCATCGTTAGTTAGTAAGCCTTTTCATTGTTACTTACTGATATTGGACAAATGATACAATAAAGCGTACCTTTAATACAAATTTTTGTCTTTATTATTGTCTTCAACTTTTTTAGAATTAAGGAGAGATAAAATAAAAATTCAAACAAGATTTCATATTTTAGAAAAATTAATAATAGTTTTCAATGAAAAATAATAAAAAAATCAATTTTTCAAATCAAAGGGAAAAAACAATTTTTTGGAGGAAAATTCGACATGAGAGTGAATCGATTAATTGATGTATTTTATGCAAAAACAAAATAACGGCAACACGGCAAATGTTATACATGGATGAGGGTTGGGAGGGTTTTTTTTTTTCATAAAAAAGGGAGAAATGGCGCGGATCGTTGGAAGCTATGTGCGGCCGCGGGAGAAAAAATAGTTAAGAGGCCGGCACAATAGAGGGCGGACGGGTGGGGTGGGGGCTTAGCTGAGTGTCAACGGCCCGCGGGGGATCATCCTCAACCTTTTATACTGGAAAAATATAAACGTGTTTCTCATCTGGCCGAATAGGAACGGACCACCCTGGATTTATTTAAATGGTAAGCAAATGGTCTTATCTTGGTTTAAAATCGCAAACATGAGAGAACGCTTTATAAATTCAAGCTGACATAGTGAACAGCCATTTTATGCTGAATTTCGTGCAAATTCGGTCCGGTATCGACTACTCGCGGGTGTTGCGGGAGGGGAAGAGACGCTCGCGCTCTCCCCCATACCCTCTCTTCCTCTCATCGTAAACCTCATCCCATCTCTCTCACACCCCAATTCCATCTCCAACTGGTTTTATGGTGTTCTCTCACTCTCTCTCTCTCTCTTGTTCTCGTCGCGCCGCGTATAGCTCTTTCCACCCGACAATCATCCCCCCGTGTCACGTCTTCACCCGAGTATCTCACACAGCCTTTTCCTCTCTTCTATAATACACTATCGTTTTGCCTCACCCTCGTTTTCAATTTTTTTTTTTTTCCCTCGTGCAAAAATATATTCCTCTCAACTTCACGTGCGCAAAACCCAAGGACATTCATGAGGATTACTATCTCGTCAACCTGTTCTTCGTAGACGGCGGCTAGACGTGATGTCCAGGTGACCGCAAAGTGTATATGTGTGGGAGAGGGAGAAACAGAATCGAAAAGAGAGAAAGTGGTGGCAGTGCTGGGTGCCATCCATTGTGTGATAGGCGGCGTGGTGCTTTTGCTGTTAACTGGAAAGCTGTTGGAAAAATTCTTCACTTACGGTCCGGTATAACCCCACTCCATTATTTAAACGGGAAAGAGGGAAATAGCTTTCGAGCTAGTGAAACATGAGGGAGTGTGAGACTTCACTGTAAGTAAATAATCCGTCCTACCTCATGGAAATCGAGAGTGCGGCGCGTGTCCACAACTCACGTCGTCGAGATGATTTTTCTCTTTTTTCGAGTGCTTTATATCGGTGATAGAGTGTGATAAAAATAACGAGGTAAAAACGAAATATTTTCAAACGATAACAAACTTTTTTTTTTATTATATTTTCTTCTATTATTTTTTAAAAATTTCCAATTCAATTAAATATTAATGAAATGATAAAATTTTTTATGAATAATTATCATTTCTCTTTAGGTATCATATTGACGGCTCGCAATGAATTTCCCGCCGTTCGGAGGTCATTTTCCTGGTACTATACCAAGTATCCATCAATTTACGACCGACGGCTCTGGTGGTGCAAGTGCTCGATATGCGAATCACTTTCCTAATCAGCCTCCAATTGGAGTGCCAGTTATGGGAAAATATCGTCCAGAATCAAATAGTGTTCAAACAGCACAATCCCAGGTGATGATGAACAATAAAACTTCCTATCCAAATAGCAATGTTCATCACTACACAAATGTTCCCTACTCACAGGCTCAGCCTGTTCAACAAAGACCAACAAATTCTCCCGTCATGCAAGAGAAACGAACCTATCATCAGGTATATATTATTATGAATTTTTTTCTAAATTATTTTTAAAAACACTTTTAAAAACATTTTTAAAATAACGCTCTTTTTGACAGGCGACAGAAACCATAAATCAACAAGATGTCTGCAACCTTTTACAGGAGAAGGACAAGAGCAAGGATAAAAAATCGGAAGATCAACGAAATGGTGAGGCAGCGACAAATGGTGGACAACAGGACTACACGATGCATCAGCATCATCAACAGCATGCTCATACTCAAACACCGGCAACAATGCCAGCAACGTGGCAATCATTGGCAACACCTGGTTCAACTGTTGCCGATTATCTGAGTCATTTACCTGCCAGTACTCTACCATTGAGTTTACATCATTTTCTCAAATATTCCGCCGAGAGTATTAAAAAAGAATCGGAAATGGCGCAAACAACATCGGTTGCCGTTGCAACAACAACGACGCCAAATATTATGATGTCGCCAAATAGTAAAAAGAAAAAGAAGAAGAAGGCACCAAAAGAAAAGAAACCACGACCAAAACCTGGTGAAATTCGTCTCACAACTGCTTTGGATGGTTCAACATTGTATTGTTGTCCCGAATGTCATATGGCATATCCAGAACGTGATCTTTTGGAACAACATCTCCTTGGACATACACTTGAACGAAGATTTGTTTGTGATATTTGCGGCGCTGGATTAAAACGAAAGGACCATTTAACACGCCACAAACAAAGTCATAATCCCGAAAGACCTTATGTTTGCACCGTGTGCCTCAAGGCTTTTAAAAGAAAGGAACAATTAACATTACACTTTGTCATTCATTCCGGCGAAAAGAGACATGTCTGTACAGAGTGCGGGAAAGGATTCTATCGTAAGGACCATTTACGAAAACACACCAGGAGTCACATTGCAAGACGAGTTAAAGCCGAGCTAAGTCAAAATGCTGGTAATGTATTTTAATTTGAACTAGTAAAATTAAATGCGCGCAAGCGCGCCTAATTGAGTATTTAATTGTTTGTTATAAAGAAATTAAAGATTAATATTATCAATAATAATTTAATTTATTAGAATATTATTACTTATTAAATGATAATAATGAAAATCATATGTTTACAGGCCTCGGATTATACGACTTTTTCCGACTTTTATCGACTTATTTTAATAAAATGCGACATTTTTTTTTTACATTTGAAAAAAAATGTAAATAAAATAAATTTTTTTAGTATAAAATGTAGATCTTCTTCAGATCTTCTTCAATTCAATTATTTAACAAATTTTGAACTAAAATGATTCTTCACTAAATTAATTATTTTTAATAATTTAATGAAATACATCACAAATTCAATTATATCAAAATGATTTTTCAATTAAAATTTTTATGAAATTTAACAATTGTTTATAATTGAAAAAAAAATATCGCAATAAAATTGAATTATTTTTTTAAAATTTCAATTCAAAATAAACTAAAATTCAATTATTACCCGAAATTTTAATTCAAAATCAATTAAAAAACCAATAATTATCCAAAATTTTCAATTTAAAATTTAATTATTTACCAAGTTTTTTAATTTAAAATGAAATAAAATTCAATTATTTTCTAAAATTTCTATTCAAAATTAATTATCCAAATTTTTAATCAAAAATGAACTTAAATTAAATTATTATCCAAAATTTCAATTAAAATTCAATTATTTCCCAAAATTTTCAATTCAAAATGAACTGAAATTCAATTATTTTCCAAATTTAAAGTCAAATAAAATTTCTTTATTCTCAAAAATTTGAATTCAAAATTAATTGAATTTTCAATAATTTAAATTTAAAAGCATCTAAAATTTAATTATTTCTAAAATTTTCTATCGACAATTTTTTTTGTTGAAATTTAATAATTTCAATTATAACTCTAAGGAAATTCAATTATTTTTAACTATTTTAATAATATTCTTTGAAAATTCAACTATCTGAAACCATTTTTCAATTAAAAATGATTTTCAAATTATTGTATTTTGTCCGCATTTTCTAATAAATTTTTAGTGAAATCATCTAAAATTTTAATTACAAAACACTTTAACTTAAAACTTAATTTTAAATCTTTGAAAATTCAATTAAATTTAAAAAATGTTTTCCAAACATTGTTTGATAAATTATTTTTATTTCTGTAAAATTTAATAATTGTTTGAAAATTAACAATATCTTTTGAAATTTAATAATTTCTAAAAATTTCAACTTTAACCCTTCGAAAAAGATTATTATTAAAAAAAAAATTTTTTTTTTTAAAATCTGTTAAATATTTTTGTTAAAATAAAAAACAAATCCACTTTTTTGGAATATAAATCGACTAAACTGACTTTTTGTGTCTTTAGGTTGATTCGAGGCCTGTGTTTTTATAATTAATATTTAATAGGTATTCGTTGGCCCCTGGTACCTTAAAAATTAATTTTTAAAAATAAATTTTTTTCAAATTATTATCTTGTACGAAATTTCCTGGCACATCTTTTTTCTCATCATAAATTTTTTTGTATTTGTATACAATTTTTGAATCAATTTACAACTTTAAAAAAAATTTCGTTGATAAACGTTGTGTACTTCAGCTTCGTGAATTGAATTTTCGAATTTGGAATTTTTGAAGAAACTTATTCCGAAATTTGGAAACACAATTATACAACTTTGGCAAAAATGAGAAAAAGAATTGTCAAAATTTGACACGTCAAAAGATTACTATTCAAAAAAACACGTGAAATCAGAAAAGGCCAACTTCAAGTTAGGACAGAAGGACAGATCAAGCATTTTATTTTTATATAGTAATTTAATTTTTCAAAAAAATATTTACAAAAATAAATTTTCATTTCTCCTTTCAGCAGGTAGTCAACAAAATCAACAACAAAACAATGTCACGAGTATGCAAACAACGGCAGTGACAACATCTTCCGTTCTCCCCGGTGGACATCCAGGACCTCTCCTGTCCTGAGCCCCGCCACCAGGGAACTTTCAAGTTCCCCATCCAAACAACATTATTCATCAACATACACCTCATCATACGTTACATCATCATCATTTAACGACAGTCAATGTTGCCCATCAATCGAGCGTGACTCCTCTTGCCACACCGAGTCACTATCAGGCGCATGAACTTAGCTTTCTTGGGCACGTCAAAGATTTCTGAGAGCACGGGAATACCTCATCGAAGAGGTAACGAGATTTTTCAATGAAAAAAAAAAAAAAAAAAAATTAACGTGACTGATAAACTTTCCACAGTTAATTAATATTTGTTTTTTTTTCAAAAAGAAAGAGGAAAAATTAAAACTTTTTCATAAAGAAAAAACAAAAAATAACAAGAAACGTATACGTGGAAGAAATCAAATTTTTCCTTATATAGACTTGAAACAGTCGATTTGCTTTTACTTGCGTGCGAGAGGCAAATAAAAAAAAAAAAAACCTATTTTTATGGTAGAGCTCGATAACAAATATGAGTATGTAGTCCATTAATATGAACAAAAAAAAATTACAAAGAAAAACTACGATCAATAAGGTTAATCAAAATCCTAAGAAGAAAAAAAAAATCTAAGGCTTCTTTGTAGATTTTTGTCAATCTATCTGATAAAGTTAAGTTTTATTAATTATTTTTTAAATAGGTGCTCTCAAATCGCACTTTTGACAGGGCCTTAGCACAGTACCGTAAGATAAAGAAGTGGTAATACTCTATACATTCAAATAAACAAAAAAAGCGAAGAAAAGAAAAAAGACAAGTAAATGTTTTTTTTAAAAACATTTTCTACTCGTTTTTATATACAAAGTTGAACAGCAGTATTTTATATTTTACGACTAGTTCCAAATTTTCCTTCTGCTCAAAAGCAGATATTATATTTAATGTATATGTTTGACATTTCCCAGTGAACTCCAAGAGTTTCTTTCTTTTTTAATTTTTTTTATTTTTTATTTAATGTTCCTGAACATTGTTTTTTTTATCTCTTTTTATACATTTACTTTTAATTAGATATCTAATTTTCGTTGAGCACTGATTACGCTTTTAAGGATGTAGAATTTTTTAAAGGAATATTTTTAATGATGAGTATCTTTTAAAGATCTCTCCTATGCTGGATACAGTCGAAATACGAAATTTATATAAGTGTAACTCATTTTTGTATTAAGTTTTAGGTGTCGTTTAAAACGCTAAAGCCACATTGCAGTGCCTATTTGTATGATGACACTTATTCGACTGACGGTGTAAATGATTTTCTAGCATTTAAACGAGAATTTGAGTTATTGAAAGTTTTCAAGGAATATTAATTCCACAAATGAGATATTAATTATTATTAATATTAATTTTCAAGTAAGTTTTTTTTTTGAATAAATTTGTTTGTGATTTTTTATTTTTAAGTTCAGTCAGAGATAGATACTCAAATGTTTTTTTTAGCTAATCATAATTATTTTTTTATAATTTTGTTTTTACATTTTAATACATAATAAACTTCAGTTGCTGTGCCATTAAATACTCGCGAAAATCATCAATTGCAAATCCCTTGCCATAATTATATATTAACACTTAAAAAAGAACTGCGAAAGTTATTATTTTTGAGTTTGCATTATTATTGTATAAAAAAAAAAGTTAACTGTGCTTGGGAGACTGACGCGAGAAAACAGTATCTTCCTCAAATATATTTTTATATTTTTGTACGTTTATTGTAGATTAGAACAAAAAACTTGATCATACTTTTGTTATTTACTTAATTCATAGAATTTATTCATTTTTTTTTTATTTTTATTTAAAAGTTTAAAAGTTTTTCAAATAGTAGAATTTTAATTTAAGTCTTAAAAACTATAAAGATTTTAATGTTTATAAATTTTATTTTTTCATAGTTTGTATTCAAAATTTTTCCAATTATAGATTTTAATAGATTTTTTTAAAATGATTTTTATTTAATTAAAAGAATAAAAATTATTAATTAAATTTACTTTTTGTCGATAAAGTAAATGTATTATGTAGTTAAGTTTATTTTTTTTCCATTTTTTTATTATTTCTTTTTAAGCATCAAGCTCCTAACGCAAAGACGATTTTTAGCAAGCAAAAAAAGGACAACAGACCTCAAGTTTAAGAATATTAAATGCTGCATATAATATACATAAAATTATAAGAAAATGAGCTGTATTAAAATATCCACCATGTATTTGTAATCGTAAAAAAAGAGTACCTAGTTGTACGTTTAGTTAATAAGTTTGTATACAAAGTAAAATGTAAGGACTTAAGCTAAGAAAACGAGAGAGTGAGAGAAAAATCTCGAATGTTAATCATACTCATGTTCGGGAAATGTAAGGGGACAGTATTTTGTGAATAAGGTGAATTGTGCAAAAAAAAATTGACAAATAGCTTTACGATTTATAAATAAAGGTCAAGCTTTCTCCTGAACAAAAAAAATTGGTTCAATTAAAAATAGATATGTAATAAAAAATTATAAAATTCGTCTAATTTAAAACAAATTAATGTTTCGCTCTTTTTTTTATAATAATTGATTATTATCTATTTTTTATCGAATCATTTAATGATTCTTAGTCTTAAAATATTGGAATTTCTTTGAAACAATTACTAATTGTTTTATCGAATTATAAGAATAAACAATGTTCCTGTGATAAGTAAATGTTGATTAATTTTTCGTAAAAAAAAAGTTGCTTTTAAATTAAAGTAACGAAACAATAAAGAGAAAAATAATCATGGAACACAGTTTATTTATTATTCGATTAATCATTTTTGTACGTCGCAATTTTTTAAAAAGAAATTTCGAGAAAAAACTATAAATTCTAATTAAAAAAAAAAAAATTTCTCTTTTGAAGAAATTAGAATGACTCAATTTGAATAAACACTAGTTATATCTCGAAATTTCGCAGACAAAAGTCTGAAATGTAATAATAATGGAGGGAGTTTTTCCGCTTGAAGACAGGAGATTGATAAAAAAGATAAATAAGATAAAATATTTTTAGTAATACAGAAAAGGATTTAGTGTTACAGAAAAAAAGCAACTACATTATGAATAAATAAAAAATAAATTATAGGTAATGCTTTAAGAAGACATTGCAGAATTCTAAATGATAATAAAAAAAAAAACATTCTGCGCGTGATGAAAAACAATTTCCGCGCTTTTTTCCCTCAATAAATAAAAACATTATTAAAGACTCCAATTTTTCACAAGGACTGAAAAAATAATCTAATTCTTGTTTTCTAAATTAAAAAAAAAATAATAATGTAATTTGACTACTCGATCAAAAATTTATATAAAAATCGAAGATAAAAATATTTAATTTGCAAAATTTATACTCTTTTTTAGAAATTTTTTATTATAAATAAGAATAACACCAATAGTATTTTTTTAAATGTAGGGCCTTTAAAACTCTCGTAAGATGAAAAGAAAAATGTTTTCAACCGAATAATTAACGACTGACCTATTTATAATTTTTAAAATAAAAAAAAAAACTTATAGCTAACTGTAAAGAATCTGCGACTTCCAATTTTTCCAATATTAACATTCTTCCACTATAGTGAAAAATCAAATAAATCGAAACCTAAAGCAAGAAACTAAAATGAAAAAGAGATATTTTTCTACACATCTTCCAGTGAATTCAAATCTTTTTTTTTAAAAAACAAAGAAAACGAGAGGATTAAAAGCTTTTGTTTTTAGTAAGAGAGAGTTTGTCAGATGTTTTTACTTTTAAAACCTACTAAATTTAGCTCGTTGTGGTATACATTTGTATATGTAAATTGTAGAAGAAAAGGAGACAAAACTTAATAATGAAAAAAAAAAAAAAGATCAGTGTAAGGGTGATTAGAAATAACGACGTATGAGAGAAAAATGGAGAGGATACATAGAGTACAAAACAGTTAACTCTTCTTTCATAGACTATAGTATTTAAACGAAATAAAAAAAAAAAAAAACCATAGGACATAGAAGAAAACTTGTATAGAATTTATTAGAGTGACTTTTAACTTCGCTATAGTTTTCTATCCCGATTATAATGATTAAGAGTTATTAATTTTGTCTTAAACAAAATATTCACAAAGGTTTTTACCTATTTAAAATTTAAACGTTCTATAGAAGTTGAAAATTAAAAAATTAACGAATTAGTCGATTTTTTTTTAAAAGTAATTTTTGGACGTTAAGATTTTTTTAATTTTTAAATTAACAAAAAAATTTATAGGTAGAAAATTAGAGCGACATTTACATGGGAAACATTTGTAAAGGTTTAATTTCATTTTTTCAATAACCAAAAAGAAAAAAAAAATGCCGAAGCCGATTACGTCGTCGTTTGTAAATCAAAAAAAAAAAAAGTCAAAGAGAAATGGTTTAATGAAAGAAAATGAAAAAGAAGCGAATAAAGACAAAACACGTTGTGTACAGCTATACTGATCTCATCGTTTTATTTTTGTATAGAGTGCAAAATTTTTTGAAACGAAATAAACATGGGAAAATGCAAAAAAAGATAAAAGAGCGAGGTTAAAAAAAAAAAAATGAAGAAAATAATTATAAGAAAAATAATAATAATTGAAAAAGAGTGCGAGAATGTGTAATTTTACTGCTGCTTTATGTAATATCCTAATAATATATCTATATATATAATAAAAATCATAAGAAAACTCAAAATTATTTAATATATCACGATTTAAATTATAAATAATTTAAAAAATTCCAATTCGTGTTAATTTTTTTATTAATATTAAATTGTAGTTTTTTTTATTTTTATTGACACAAATTGGAATTATTAAATTATTTTTTATATTTACAGATTTCAGGTGAGAAAATTGGGTATAATATTCAAGTTAATATTTTATTTATTACTAAATTTATAGAAAACGTCGATTTACATCGACTCGCAACACAACAATCACTTAAATTTAATAAGTCTATAAAGTTGTAATAAATATGGCTAAATTACTTTCATTTTCGGATAATTTTTATCTACTGGCAAATATATGAAATCAGATAAAATTTCTCATTTTCGAGTATAGAAGCAAAAACTGTCCAACTTTAAAAAAAAAATGAAATTATTTTAAACGTTTGAAAATTTATATCTGATTACATTTCATTCAAGCATTTTTAGTAATCGTTTGATTATTTAAACGTTTATTGCTTTTCTTATTATTTTTAATAGTTTTTTTTTTTTGCTGATAACTTGATTCAAGCTTCAATTACTTACTTATTATCTAACAAATGTAGAAACAAAAATAAAGTACTTTTGTTAAATATTAAATAAACTCGTATCTACTCTATTCATTAAAAATTTTTTTTAACAATTTTCGAACTTTTCTATTCTTTTTTAGGGAATATTTTTGAAAATTAAATTTAAAACATACAAAATTGTTTTTTTTTCAGAGTAGTGAAAAAGTGTAATAATTGAGAATTATTTTGCTGTTAATGTTTTTTTATGTTCGTAAAATAGAAAAAGGAGAAGGTCCAGCCTGTCTCATCATGAGAGCAAAGTTGTTGAGGCTATTTTGTCCACTTGGTGGAGTCGGAGTGTTACTCACATTTTTATTTTTATTGCTGTTGTGACTCTGAAGATGTTTTTTCAAATGATCCTTGCGAAAGAAAGCTTTTCCACATTCGGTGCAAATTTGATTTTTACTGCCAGAGTGAATAATAACATGACGTGCCAAATGTTCATTTCGCTTGAAGGATTTGCAGCACATATTACATTGATATGGTCGATCTTTATTGTGACCTTGTTTATGACGATCAAGATGCTCCTTGCGTTTTAAACTAGCTCCGCAAATATCACAAATGTGAGATCGTTGTCGATGATCTTCCAAATGTTCATGAAGTGTTTCACGATCCTCAAATCTATAGGAACACTCTGGGCAGTGATAAATTAACATACCTGAAAAAAAATTTTTAATTATTTATAAATTTTCAGAAAATAATATAAGATATTAATTTATAAAAGAGTTTTTTTTTTAAATTACCATGTGATTTAGAATCGTATTCAATTTTAGGTCGAATTTCCTGGCAATTGTGAATCAAACTGTTATTGGCAGCACATCGAGCAGCTAAATATTCAGAAGTTAATTTAAAATCTATTTGCAATGGATCTGTCATTGTTGATGCATCGACTTTTTGAACAGTTTGTGTTCCAGATGACTGCCGTGAAATCGTGGGACATATTTCCTTATTTCCACAATCATTTTCATTTCTATTCTCATCTGTTTGAAGATTTGGTTGCGATTGATGTTCAGGATACACGTATCCTGTCATATTATGTTGCTCGTAAGCCATTTTGATCAAATAAGAAAATTTTTTACATCTGAAAGAAAATTTAAATAAATTAAAATCAAATTTACAAAACTCATAATTAAAGTCAAGTAAATTTATAATTTTCCAAAAATAAAATCTTAATTTAGTAAATAAATTTTTAAAAAATGTAAATATAAACATTATTATTAGTATTAATTACTGAAAATATTTTTTTATTATTTCTTTATAAACGAAAATCATTAGGGGCTTTCTCCCGTTTCATAAATTCGATTTTATTGAGCAGGTCAGGAACAAAAAGAATTTACTTTTGGAAAATTACATTAATATAGTGAATAGCAATCATCTATATAATTTACATGACTCTAATTTAAAACTAATATACAAGAATTCAAAATTTTTACATACCATATAATTTCTTATTCTTGAAGATGAGCAAATTTTACAGCTTTACTATTTGTTTGTATCACAATATCACCGGCCATCTTTGAATCAGCTGCACCGAAACATTTTTAACACCGGTGAACTTTTTCATTGAAAGTTCATCATTAAAATCAGAAAAACGTTATTTTACAAATAAAACACGAATATTTCTTCACGTTAACGATTTAATTAAAATCCTTAAATCGAAATAATTACGATGAATATTTGTTTTTTGGGATAATATTTCAATTAGACAAAAGTGGCGAAAGATCAGCCGAGATCAACGAGTTGCGACGATTTGATATGGTGGAATGCGAATTGTGGGGTTAAGAGAATCGAATTTCATTTTCGGTTGAAATTCAATTAAATAAATAATGTTTAATAATTAAAAGAATATAATTAATTTGTTCATAATAGTATAAAATGTAAAATTAATAAATATCAGACAAAGAGAAAAAGTGGTTTTTGGGGAAATGTTGAATAAATTTTGAAAATAATATATTGGCGCCAATTTGTAAAATCGTCAGCCATTTATCATATGAGTAGAGTTATCAATTGAGTAAAAAATAATTTTAAATTTTCTGCCAAATGTGGCATTGATATTTAATTTAAAAAAAAAGTTTCTTTAAGTTTTGTGATCATTTTCAATATATATTAATATTAAAAATGATCAATTTTAATATATTTCAAATTAAAGCCTGTTGAAAGAGAAATAATAGTTTTAATCAGCATAGTGACAAAATAAAATTCTAATAATTATAATAATCTAATATAATAAAAATATAATATAATAATGTACAATATTAATCATATATACATTTATGATTAAAGCTAATCATATATATGCATATGATGAATATTTTACACTACATTCATAATTTTACACACACACACACACATATGCAAACTCTCTCGCTATTTTACACCTCTCCTACCTATTCCTATATTTAAAAAAAATAAATTATACTATCCGCGACACACACATTCATTGATTACTTTTCATTTTTTCCAATTACTGCAGGAAAAACTCACATTTTATATCAGGATTCATGTGTTGAGATTGAACACTTCTCTGACACCACTCTGACACCTCTGAAAAGAAAAGCTGGAAAGAAGGCTAATAAATTAAGCTAAAAATTACCAATTGAAATTTTTTTATCATTGAAATATTTAATTATAAATAAAAATTTTTAATAAAATTTAATTTTCCAACATTGAATTGTTTTCAAAGTTTTTAAAAATTTAATTATTAATTTAATTTTATATAAAATAAAAGAAAATATGAATTCAATATTATTATAAATATTAAAATACTTTAATCTATTTAAAATTAAAATACTCTTGAAATATTTGATTAATAATTTAAATAAAAACATTTAATACTGAAAATAAATAAACATAAACAACATAAATACATAATAAATAAATGCAATAGAAATTCAATAGACGTTTGCAATAATAGATTTTCTCAATCATAACGTTATTTTTACACGGGAGAAAAATAAGTAAAAATTAGCTATAAAATCCATCTAAAATTATATATCGTGCAACGTATTTGGATAGAGAAACCAACTTAATTGTGAAAAGGTCAGTCACGTGACGCGCAAGCGCATTGTCACAATATACCTAGCATTACATATCTAACGTCATGTTCAAGTTGAATGATAATAATTTATAAAAATATGGATGAAGAGTGTATAAACTTTATAGAACGTGCTGTACCAGCGCATTCAGAACTTCTAATAAATTTATTTAAAGGTAAGAGAGAATTTTTCTATGAGAATTAAGATTAATTACTTTTATGAAAGTTTGATACTAAACAACAATAACAATTTGTAAATACAGGATTTTTTTTTTTTGCATTTGCAGAACATTTTATATATTTCGATATCCTACTTTCTCTTACACATGAAGAATTGGAAAAGTTAATACCACAAATAGGCCTACGTAAAAAGATTTTAATTGGTTTGGAGAATTTTTGTAAGAATTCAAAGGTAACTTGGCATAAAATTATATTTATTTTGCTATTTTAATATAAATTTAAAATAATGTTTTAAAAAATTGTAAATTATTATTCTACTGCAGGAAATTGAACATCATGAACTACCAGGTACGCAGACTCTTCAACTAAGAGATGGAGCATTAGAAGTAATGCAAGAAAGTGTTATGAATTCTTTAAAACGAAAAAGGCCTAGTACTACTGGAGATTCAATACAAAATTCGAAAGTAATAAAAACAGAGTGCCAATTAAATTACTGTAACACTCAAAATGTAAATGTCTATCTAATACTAATATGATCACGGTTAATAATTTACTGAGAAATTAAATAAATAAAAAACATTTCTTTTTAGACTGTTCGAAGATATTTAGAAGGAAATATTAATGGCCTAAAAATCCTAGCACTTTATGAAAAAGGATCCTTTAATGGCTGCATACGATCTGAATTAGCAGAATGTGTTATTACTTCGGAGTTGAATGCCGATTTGGATGTAAACAAAGTGTGAGTAAATTATTATTTTTAATTTAATATACTAAATTTTAGCCCTAATTCTTATTTTGATAAATATTTTTTATTTTAATGTAGAATAACGCCACGAAGATTCATGGAACTGCGAAATGAAATAGTTAATATATTCCCAACAGAAGCGGCGGTAAGTTTTTGTTTTTTAAATAATTTTTGAAGATTAAAGTGTAAATGAGTTTTTTTTTTATTTTCAGGCAACTTACTATGCACCACGACAACCGAAATCAGTTTCAGAATGCGCTAAGCAACCAAGAGGCAAACTATATGACAAATATACAACTTTAATAAAAGGTTTGCGAGGAGCAGGACTAAGGCACAAAACATCGGAATCTCACATTTCTGATGATCCTTTGGACATTACATATTAGTTTTATTTTTTTTATTAAAATAATATAGAAATTATTTTAAATAACCATAGAAAAAAAATGTACATACGCGAAATCGCAAACGTCTATAATATAAGTAATAAAAGTTTCATATAAAATAAAAATTCCTAATTAAAATTCATTGGTGTAAATATTAATTGCCACATATTAACATCAGTAATGTGTAATATTAATTTACATCAATGTTGTCACTATGCTGATTTAAATTAAAAATCACTCACCAATCGCGGATTCCTTTGTTTGGGGTCATAATAGGGTTCAATGATCCATATCATCCTGTCCTTCCTGTCCTTCAGTCTGAAAATATATTAAAATTATTAGAATTTTTTAAAAGTAAAATTTTTTAATTATACATTAATTATTATTAATTAGAAATTATTTTATATTATTAAACAATTATAATTTATTAAATCAATTAAATTATATTATATGAATAAAATAAAATAATTATTTAACTACTCATTAAAAAAATAATTAAATAAATTATAATTATAAATAATTTAATAAATTATTAATTACAATATAATAAATATTATTAAATTAATTCATTAAAATAATTAATATACAGTATAAACTTTAATAAACATTTTTTCTAAATTAATTAATTATTTAACTATTCATTAAAAAAATAATTAATTAAAATATAATAAATATTATTAAATTAATTCGTTAAAATAATTATTATAGTGTAACCTTTAATAAACATTTTTTCTAAATTAATTAGTTATTTAACTACTCATTAAACAAATAATTAAATAAATTATATTATATATGGTATTAATAAATATAATAATAAAATAAATTATAATTATAAATAATGTAAAAAATTATTTTATTAAAATATAATAAATAATATTAAATTTAATTCATTAAAAGAATTAATATAATGTAAACTTTAATAAATGTTTTTTCTAAATTAATAATAATTAATGAAAATTTAATACTATTAAGATAAAAATTTAATATTAAAAATTTATATTTATTGTATAATATAATATACAAAATTGGGAATTGCGATATTTTTTAAAAGATCTTGTCGTAAAATAACCTATAAAAAATGTTATAAAATATAACAATCATAATTAATTTTGTTTTTTAATGTTCTGTTTAACTTACAAAATATCTGCATGGTCCGGCGCCTGTTCTCCATCCTGGAGCTGCTTACTGCAATCTGCTTTGTAGTTTTCTACACCATCTTTCTTCTGTTTTCTTCTGTTTAAATGGTCCTTGTATTTTACTTCTTCCTTTGCTTCTTCTCTTTTATTGGCATATGGAAGAATCAGATCACTCTTGTAATTCACAAATAGCCAATACTTTTCCTCTTCTTCATCATCTTCTTTATCTTCTTTAAATTGTGACTCCAGGCCACAATATACACTACCCATCACTGAAGTAATCACAGTTGGCTCCACCTATGACGATTTTTATACACGAGCTAATTTCACACTTCACTATTTTTTTAAAATTTTAATTTTACACGCCACTCATCACTGGAGTTATCACAGTTGAGTCCACCTATGGCGATTTTTTACACTAGCTAAATTCACTTCACTATTTATTTTAAATTTTTATTTTACACACCACCCATCACTGTGTCTTTTACAGCTGGGTCCACCTATGACGATTTTTATACACTAGCTATATTCACTTTTCACCATTATTATTAACGAACGCGATTTTATTATTTAATTTATCCGATTGCCGATAGAAGGTGCGCTTTCATCCATCCTAGTGTCGATAAAGTAGGCGTCTTCAACCAATTGCCGGCAGAGGGTGTCCGCGCACACAAAAAGCGCGCGGAAATGACTGCAAAAAGCAATATGGCCGACCAAATGGAAAAATCTTCTATTTTTGCCATTAAACAGATAATTGGGGAAATCGGTTGTCATTTAATTCACCGAAATTTATCACTCCCAATATATCTTCGTGAATCTGAAATAAATTCTTCCTTTGTCATGATGTCCTCGCCAGAATATCCTCTCAAATCAATATGGCCGACCAAACGAAAAAATTTTCTATTCTTGAAAAAACCGAGAAAAGCGCGAATTAGGGATATGGGATATTTAATTAACTGAGAATTATTATTCCTGATATATGATTGAAAATTGGAAACAATAAGTCGATGCTGATCCTTCGTAGCCAGAGTGTCCTGTAGCCAAAAAATTTTGCAGCACTCGCGAAACACTTGTTGACGCCGATAACCGATTTACTTATTAAATACGACAATATATTAATTGCGATGAATATATTCGTTAATAAAGATTACACGAGAATAAGGAGGCAAAAGGGGTTGATTTTATACGATTTTATTATATAGAAAATCTTGAAAAACGATCACGAGACCCGAAACACTGTTATCACCGACGATACCGGTTACAAACTAAAATCTGTTGAAGAAGCCCTCCCCCATTTCCTTGAATCTCCTTCCGTTATCAATTTGCGGGGGAAAATATTTTCTCATTTTTCTTAAAAGTTATAAGTTTTTAGACATTTATCCCCTGATGCACTGAATCTCTAGGGTGTCTAGATTCACATAACACAAAATATTTTATTAAAATAGTTAATTATTTAGTAATTAATTGAATAAAATAAAAATGACCAATTTTCAAATATATGAATTCCGAGAAATATCTTGGAATGGAAGCCTCCTATTGGTCGAGTAGATGGCGCTGGTGTTCTCCTTCCCCACAGTGTCACTTCCGTCTTTAGGGAATGGTGGCCTCCCATTGGTCGAGCAGAGGGCGCTAGTGTTCTCAGTTACTTCCGTCTTTTTACCCCCTCTGCTAATAAATATTTTCGAAAATCAGCAACAATGTTGCATTTCCGCCCTGTTGCGACATTTTTATTGTTGAAGTCAACGACAAGTTTCTTTGTTTTGTGTTTTATTTGTTGTATTTCACGTATTGTTTTACGTATGTTATATTTAATTATTCACATAACACCTACAGCAAATTCGACAAGAAGTATTTATATAAAGGTATGTTTATAAAGATATTGATAAAGTATTTTGTTCATGACGCCGTATTCCTAACCTAAAATTCTTTCACTTACGTTTTACTTTGTTTATTTTTCGTAACAGTAATTAACATAAATTGCATTTTCTATTTACATATGAGTTTTTTCCTACTGTTTTTCATCATGAGTTGATTAAAAAGACGAAAATTTCAATAATTTATTTACAAAAATGTACAAATTACTGTTACTTATGTCTACGGCGTCATTGACTGTTCAATATGTCTCATTTGCTAAAAGGTAAAAATTTTGTAGTTTTTATTAATTGTCTAACAATTATTAATTGAAAAATTAAAAAATAATTGCTTTTAATGGTATAAAAATGTAAAATTCTAAAGTTGTTTTTTATAATTATAAAAATAAAAAATAGTTTCTACATAAATTAAATTCAAAAACAATTTACTAAATTAAATTAATATAGGTATTACTAAAAAAAAATTTTCAGAGTCTACTAAGAAAATTCTAATATAAATAAATATTTTATTAATTATTCATACAGCTGATTAAATAAATAATTAATTAAAAATACATTAAAAAATCTTCAATAATAATTTTTAATTATAGTGGAAATATTTTTAAAATTTTGTTTATATTATAAATATGAAATTAAAAAAAAAATTAATTTTCCAGATAAATATTCGACAAAATTGAATAAATTAATTTAAAAATATAATAAAAATTATTCAATAATAATCTTTAATTATAGTGAAATTTTTTTTTAAATTTGTTTATTTTATAAATATAAAATTTTAAAAAAAATTAATTTTCCAGATAAATATTCGACAAAATCTGAAAGATACCCTTAGGAAATTGAAACTGAAAAAATATCGAAAGCAGGTTGTTGAGAGAAAGGCGAGGGATTCCCAAGTGCTTCAAATGCTCTGCGCACAGTCGAAAAATCTCGAAAAGGAGTTGTCCTCCGGAACATTGTGCCAACATGAGGAAAATCGATGAATCATCAAATAAATGAAAACCATATCAAGGAAAAAGAAATCAAATAATTTTATAGAAGTCATTTTTAATAGCAACAATATATTAATTGTAAGTAAATAATATATATATATATATATACAATTAGAATTTTTTATACACAAGAATAAAAAAGACTTGATCACTTTCGACATTATTCTAAATCATTATTTTAAAAAATGCCTTAACTAAAGTGTTTAATTAATAATACAAGTCGTTTTTTAAATCTTATTCTAATTACTAAGAATGACATAATTTTTTCTTTTAGATATTTTTGATCAAAATTGGTGATACTGGATTTTGAAGTACAACATTTGTAAATCAAAAACAAATTAATGTAACAAAATACATATACATCAGAAGAATATATACACAGTCTATTGAACGCACAATATCGAAGAAGGAAATACCAAAAGGTCAATTTATACGATATGAAAGATCGAAAGGTGATCTATTGAATGTTAAAGTCTGACAATTATTTAACTACAAAAATAGTCAAAAGAAGTCCTTAAAATTTTCTTGGTAAGTCAAACTATTATATAATAATAGTTATATATTGGTATAAAAATCATTAACTTTTTTTTTTCTTTTTCAGGTAAACAATTTTATGGTAACTCTTCTAATATATGGAATGAGAAAAGAAATTAAAATTGTTGATAATTTTTTGTCAAATTATAAAAAAAGGATGATATTCGTTGTTAAATGAATTATTTTTCTGTATGAATATTGGCTGTCGTAATTTTCGATGGTAAGTTTATTTCTTTACATAAAAGTCAAGTTGATTAATTCATTGTATGTTGTTATTAATATTAACAGCGCTGGAAACGATTTCACTTCCGTGATGGCTTGACGGATCCATTGCAATGGATATAAATTCCTCGGAAATTCTTTTATCTAATCCGGTATACGTTTGTGATAAATCAATTTGATCTTCGCCAATTGATGTCATTTTTTTCGAGGATTCACTTTTATTTTCGCTGTGACGACGACGCTCTGTTCCATCTTCTTCCTCTGAGGAGTACCGTTTGGTCCTTGGTCTCATCTGTGAATATACGGACTTTTTATTATCACGGTTAGTATTTTTTTTTAAAATTATTTCTAACCAAATTTTTTAGATTTATTTACAGTTTATTAAATTAAAAAAATATTTTAATTTTAAAAATAGAATTTTTCCAAGTGATGAAAAGATAAAAAATATGAATAATATTAGTTAATGTTCTTGTTTGGTTTTGAAATTAGATAAAAGTTTTTTTTTAAATATACCGCAAGAACAAGAATTTTAATTTAAATTGCCTTTGTAAACTTTCTGTCATTTATCTGATTTCTCTCTTTTTTTGTAACTGATAATTTTCCTTGCTGCTATTGTCGCGTAAATATAAAAAGTTAAGGAAGGCTGTATCGTAATTTCGTTGAAAGAAAAGACGAACCCTTTATGGGAATTTTTATAATCCTATTAACATTCTCAGAAAAAGATTTTTTATGACAATTTTTTGGTTTTTCATCGAAAAAAAACATTTTTTTACAAGAAAAATTAGTTTTAAAATTAAAATATCAAAATTTAAAGGAATTAAAAAATTTAATTAAAATTAAACAGTAATTTTTATTTTGTTACTGGAATTTAAAAAAATAATTGTTAATTTTCTAGAATGTTTAAGGTTTTATAATTTTGTCCAATCATTGTGATAAAAGTACGAGGTGAATTAGAGCCGTGAGGAGAATTTTATTACTCAATAGTCGTAATTGCGATGGTGAAGGTCAAAAAAATAGTTACCATTTGTGATGGAGGTCGACTTGGATAGCCCATGTGTGGAACGATGGGCATGGCTCCATAACCAGGAGCTGCTAGAGGAAGAGTTCCGGCTGGCATAAACCCTGTGGGATATTTCCCAGGCGGTGGATGCATTCCATAAGGATGCTGAAACAAATGAGAAGATGGATCATTACACGGACATTTTCCCGAGTCAATAGTGGTCGTCCTCGAAATTCCTAAATGTAGGCATCCAATTGCCTGCGGCTGTCTACCGCGAGAGTTTCTCTCAGCGATTCGAGCGGGTAACGTTCTCTCTCTCTTTCTTTCTTTCTTTCTCGCGTGCCCGCTGAACTTTCTATCGTGTCACTGACTTCTGACGAAGAGGTCAAGACTCGTAACGCCATGGATGCGAACAAGAAAAACAACAACATTGGTTATTTACCTGAATTATAGGGTGCATTGGCATCACCGACTGCACCACGTAGATCGGCTGATGGCTCTTGGGCACGTGGTTTTGTGCGATTACCCATTGGTGAACCATGTTACGGGTCTTGAGCCGTCCATCGGTCTCATCATCGGGATTGGACTTGAGACAGCCACAGAGCTTGGGAGTCAGGGTCACGCAAATGTATCCGGATACCAAAAGATCAGCAACACTGGCAATCAGCAGACCAATACTTGCCAGAAGTCGGGACCAACCATCCTCGAATTCCACTACGTGATCTTCTTCACCCTAGAGAGAGAGAGAGAAAAAAGAAAAAATCAATAGAAAAATGTTACGGTATTATCGAAATTGCAAATTTCAATTATAAGACAGAAATTGAAACCAGAATTGTGGTTTGAGGCTTGTGTAATTTGTTAAGAGAGAAACGCCAAGTACTTACTGGAGCAAAAACACAAGTCTTGGAGTTTTTGTCGCGTTTCGACAATTATGAAAGTTTCTTTCGCTTTTCAATAATATCTCAAAATATTAATAATCAATTTTTTTAAATTTCTCTAAAATTTGAGAATGGAAATTAAATTTTTCTTGAAATTACATTCTTGGCATAATTTTCAATTTTATTTTAATTCAAATATTTCGTATAAAAAAAAATTTAACATTCGTAATCAATTTCCTAATAATGTTTATTTTGGGTCATGAATTAGAAAGATTTATTGGGACATTAGTATCAGATAGATGCAAATACATAATATAGGTTTTTCGTTAGATGAGGGTTACTATCTCTTCCGGAACATTAAACGTGAATGCGCATCAGAAACCTCAGTTTTTCATCGTTTTATAATCTTCCGATAAATTCTATTAATTTTTAATTATTTTATTTATTTCTGTCTAATTAAACTCATCTATTTTTTTGAAATTCTTGAAAATTTTTTGATTTTATTATTTCTACTATTTACTTATATTTATTGTTTTATATCTTTATTGAAAACAATAGTGAGAATTTAATAATATTTTTCTATGCAATTTTATCACGATTATGTGGTTGTTTTAAAAAAAGATCTTCTATTTGAAAATCTGCGCATAACGATAAAGTAATTGATGGAAATTCCTTCTTGAGAAGTATATGGAATTGAATTAGCGTTTTCTCTAAATGTGATTCACGATCAAGATATCAAAGAGCCACGCCTGTTTCAGAGACTTGGGAGAGTAATTTTTAAATTTGTAGGTGTGCATATTAGACACAGTTAAATGTATTGACCTGTAAAAAAATTTCACATTGGCATTGAACTTTCTCCGTGCGACTCCTTTTGCTCTCCCCCCCGCCTTCTTTTTTTTTTGCCAAAACTTGTTGAATCGCTGATCGTTTCAGGTGAGTCTCCACCGGCTCGCATGAAACTAGGTCATCATTCGTTGCTCCATTAATTAATAAAGATTAGCAGGAGAAAAAAAAATGAGAAGAAGAAATTAACAAAGCAGATATATGTTCTCAATCTTGAAAATTTTCAAACATATATAAAAATATTAATTATTAATTAACTTGAAAGTTAGAATTAATTATTTCAAAATTAATTATTAATTCAGTATTGACAGGAAATTATGTCAAAACTTTTTTTTTTATAGTTGAATTAAAAATTTATAATCTTCTCTTTCGTTTTTCTCATGCCATTGAGAAAATACGGGAATATTATTTTTATGAACTTGAATTTGTAGAAACATCTCATTATATGGTTTTTATTGTAAAATTTCACGTCGTCATTGGTCTGAATCGTTGTTTTTCATTGTAGATAAACGAAGTAAAGCAGTGGAAGAAGAAGAAGAAGAAGAAGAGGAAGAAAAAGACGAACATTGAGATGGAACAGAGGAAGAAAATATGGCGATAGTGGGGAAGGAAAAGGAGCAATTTAGCAAAAGAACAAGAAAAAGGAAGGCCAATAACGGTGTGTCTTGAATTATGTTGAAACTTACTGGAACAGCGAGCAGAGTAAATTCTGACCTCTGCGAATCTCTGACTATTGAAGCGAGTGCTGTTATCGCGGACATGTTTGACAATGCCAAAGCCACTAAACTCGATGCGAGATGGGCCGTTGAAAATCCAGAGCTTGATTTACTTGCAAGGGTTGCAACCACTCCTAATGCCCCGGAAACTAGAGCACTTGCACCCGCCCAAAGACCAGCTCCCGTGCCACCCAATGCGGCTCCATGAACTAAGACTAGGATTCCAAATACGACTAGGACGACTCCTAAAAGTAACAAACAAAATTTATTTTTATTACATCATCAATAATAGAAATTATTAATAATAATAATAGGAGAGATTGAAACAATTCCGATAATGGTCTAAATCTGAGGCTGGTTATTTTAATTTTATAATCTAAAAATATAAAACAATATTTGTAGTAGAAAACAAATAGAATTAAAGAAAAAAAAATGCATCGGAATTGTTCTGTCTCATCTAAATAATATCTTCTTAAAATTAAAATTATCGCACTAAATTTATTTCTTTTTTTTGCTGATTATTAAATTAATATTTTTAGAAAAATAATTCAATTTGAATAATATAATAAATTTATTTATTAAAAGTATTAATGGAAAATTCAAATAAACATAAAATCTTAAATTGATATTTATAAAATATTTGACAACGAAAATCTTTTAAAGGAAGATTCATTAAAATTCAGAATCTATCGATTCTACTTTGCATATATTTAACACGAAAATGAAAAGTGAAATTCCATTTTCATATATTATTTAAAGACACTTTTTTACTTTCTACAATATCAATTTTTCATTGACAGTGAAAGTAGTAAAGAATTTTGTTCATTTGTTCCAGAATTTTTAATTATTTTTGAAACTGAAACACATAAATAAATATTATCAGTTTCATCTTAACATGGAATTTTGTTTTGAATTTTTTTCGTGGCGATAATATTTATCAAACTTTCTTTTTTTTCTAATTTTTATTCATTTATTTTGTTTAATTCATATTTTATGACTCTATCCTATTTTTTTTATTAATTTTTCTTAAGAATTTTCTTTGTCACTTTGTAATCAAATTTCTTTTTATTTTTTTCTTTTAAACATTTTTATTGCTTTTTGATATAAAAGGTATACGTCAATAAAGAATAAACTAGAAATATGTTGCAAGAAATGAGAACAAGAAATTTGAAAAGAAAATTATGTCTTCATAATCACAATTTGTGAAAAAAAAATTATTATAAATAGAAAAAGTGAAATTATCTTTGATTGCATAAAAAGTATTTAAAACACGAACACTACGAAGGGAAAATTTAACGAGGTGATTGTTTTAAAAGTAAATAAAACTTTATAGTTACGTCTCCATAATAAATATAATAAAAGTAGAAGAGTTTTATTATTATAGACTCAGCTGCAAATAATAATTTTTTTTTATAACGGCGAATTATGTTTTTAAGTAAAGAAAATTTCAATTAGAATAAATTATTTACCAGGTAGAGTTCATAAATATAAATTAATTCAAACTTATTAAATTTGTTTTGTTTTAAAATTACAATTAATAATAATAATAAATTGGAATTAATATTAAAAAAATAATTATATTATTATCTATTAAAATAACCATGTAAAGATTTTTATTGAATTTTTGTTAATTATTCATATATCTTAATTGTGAAATAATTACCGCATTTTTTACATTATACGAGTTCATTATCTGAGAAACGAATATTAATGTTGTATGTTTTTTTTCATGAATTATTAATTTTTTTCAAATATCTTGAGTATATATTGTTTCTTGTTTATTTTTTTCTTTAAAATTCTATTGATCGTTTTTTATAAATGACATTTTTATTATAAAAATATAATCATGAACTATGTTGAAAAGTGGATGATATGAGTTCCACTCCAATAATTGCAAAAAAAAAAAAACTGTAATATCATATTTTTAAAGAAGAAACATGCAATGAAAATACTTATTAGATTTCCAGATTAGTAGAAATATGTTACTATTCGCTATCAATTTATTTCATTTCGCTTCGTTAAACAAAATTTACTAGTTTGATATGTGAATTTTATCACATAAATAAAACTTTCTCAGAAATTTAAGAGTTTAAAATATTGAAAAGTGTCAAGTTGACTGCTATTAAAAATAATTTATGATTTTCGATTGTAACTTTCATTTCGTTTTTCGTATGTTTTAAACATTTTAAAAATACCAATGTCTGAAATTTTAAACAATTTAACAAAATTTTTTTCATTTATTTTCTTGTATTTATTTTTAATTACTCCATGACTATATTTGCTAGTGAAAAAAGAAGATATAATACATATATTCATGGTCCATGAGAAAAACGCCACTAGATCTTATAGTGGCTTCTATAATTTATTTGATTGTTATCTATAGTTGTCTTTCGAAAAGAAACTTTAACTAGACGTTTCGAGGCAGATAAATTTTCCTGTGATATAAGCAAGGCTTTCTTCTATACAACAGCAATTAAGAACAATTAAAAAACAACAATAAAAAAAAAGTTTAGTAATTATTTGTGTCTAATTAAATGTTTAATTTGCAGGAAAGTGAGTCCTTACCGAGAAGTAATTGTCCACAGGATGTGAACATAAGAATGTTGGTGTCGTCCTTGACTTGTGTTCTATGCTGCCTCGGCTCTTGCTCCTGTAGATGCTGTGGCGAATGTTGATGTTTATGTTTTGCTGATATAAGAACATCCTTTGAATGCTTTGACTCAGCCTTTGAGTCTTTTGATATTCGTGAAATATTTGTCTCTTTGGACAATTTTGACACTTTCGAGTCTTTTGAATTGCTGGAATCTTGACTTCTGACTGTTGAATCAAGACCCATGGCAGGTTGGTCCTCCATTTTTATTTATTATTAATTACTTTTAACTTTCATTATCTATTAAGTACTATTTCTTTTAATCATATCACTGGATATGATCATTAATTCTTTTTTTTTCCCTCTAATAATTAGTTATTACTAATTTTTACATTGATTATTAATTATGTAATCGGTCATTAATTATGACATTGATTATTGCTGATTATGACATTAGTTATCAGTAAATAAATCACTAGGAATTAGTGATTAAATTGTCAATTTTTATGAGATTAAATTAACGATCTAGTGATAAATCGATTAGCTTGGTATGATCATCAGTATCCTCTGTAATTTCGTTAAGGTCAGTGGATTCCATTTACAGTCGGCTGGGTCCCGACGATCTGTAAATTAAGGAAATAATGCTCTTGTACATTGGTGCTCGAAATGAAACGCAAGATTGTTAGTGCTACATCGTAGGTAGCATAATTAATCATTTCGCGAAAATTCAAGTTCTTAATTAACTCCATTCTTCCATACTCGTGTAAGAAAGCTGAAAATTCCTCCAGCAAAGGCGTTAAATTTTAATTAGCATAACTAAATCTACAATTTTTATTATAATATGAGTATAAAAATATTTGTTAGAAGGAACTTCTTTAGCCTCATTTTGTTTTATCCGATTTTTATTAAAATTAAAAATTATTCTAAAATTCTACTTTTGAAAATTATTAATAAACTGGTTTTATTACTATTCAGAAATTAAGCATTCCGGAGAGGTTTTTTTTTTAAAAGTCAATCGTTTCTTATTTACAAAGAAGTTTTACTTGGCATTATTTTAAATTCATTAAATTTTATATCTATTCCTGGTAAAATTATTTTTAGTCATTAAACTTGAATTTTAATCATTGAAAATAATTATTCATGGAATGCTGAAATTTTGTTTACATTTTCACAAAAAATATTAAAATTCAATAGACATTACAACATTGATGATAAATTGAAATTTTTTTCCCTAACTAATTTTATGATTTAGTGGCAAAAAAATAAAATGTCAAACTTTATTTTTCAGAAATGAGTTCTTTAATAAAATTTATAGATTGCATTAAAACGCGTGAAAAAATAGTAGTCATTAAAATTCTTATTAACGATAATATTTTCACTTACTATTTTATAGGGGTTGAGTATGAAAAAAAAAATGTTAATTTACTGAATGAAAATGTTAATTATTTTACTTTACTTTCTATAATTTAGACACTTGTCACGATTCACACGCAAATTATTATCCATAATGTGAAACTGGTTTGACATGTGTATAAAAACATATTTTATGCATTTGTAGCACTCCTGTGTGTATTACATTTTACGAGTATAGGCTTTTAACTCCTGGAAAAAGATCTAAAGCAAGAGAATGGCTTTTAAACCACAATACAAGAAATTCCTCTGATCTAGAGAAACTTATTTCAAGTAAAAAATAGCATTGTACCTGTTTAATTAAAGTTCTTACTATTGTTTCTCAGAAATAAACAAACAATTAATTTGGTAATAAAATTAATTTTTTTACACACTGATTTGTTTATATTTTTGCAAAAATGAATGGAGATGAAAAAATCTAAATTTGTTAATAAAAATAGAATAAATTATAAATGAAAATAGATAGGCAGAAATAAAATAAATGTTTTGAAAAGAAAATTAAATTTTTGATAAATATTGATTTAAAAATTAATTTAGGGATTCACTTTTCTTGCCTTCACTTTTTCTTAATTACACACTTTTACTCGATCACTGTTTAGAAAAGTCACATGTAATTTTTTTTTTTTAAATAAACGCTTCCGCTCATTGAGTAACGATGAATAAAACCGCATATTTTCTTTACAGGTAGTGAATGAACTTGATGAGATGAAATCTAATGAGAAGTTTTCCGACGAGTTCTTTGCCCGCCTGAACGACGTACCAATTTGATGAATCTTGTTTTCCTCTTTTCCGGGTCACATGGTTCCTTGCAGAAAAAAAAAGTAATATCACTTCACCGAACAAGGTAACTTAATTAAATTTAAGGGAAAAAAAAACAACACACAGAACCAAGTCGAAAATGTATCGCGAGGTACACGTCCTCTTCGAATGTAACTGCTTGTAGTCTGGTCAGTGACTGGCACCTTCTCAGATTCTCTCCCTCTCCTACTGTTCATGTATAGTACTCTCGGTACTCTCGGTACTCTCTCTATTATTTTTCTCCCCATCCATTCTTTTCTGCCCTTCTCGTGTTTCCATTTTTCTTTTTCTGGTCGGCGTTGCCAGATGCTTTTCTCCTCTGTCATTTTTCAACAGAATGGCATCTAAATTGTCAGGTTTTACCGTGTGCAAGGTTTATTAGTAAATAAACGAGGTTTAATGGAAGATTGCTTAAAAAGAATAAGAAAAGGAGGGAATGAAGCAACGAAGCTGTTGAAGATTAAGAATTAGGTTGAGGAAGTAACAGAAGGAATTTCAAAGTCAAGAATGTAATATATAAAGATAAAAAAAAGAAAAGAAACAGTTCTAGAAGCGTGCGTATAAAAAGGGAAATAATTGAGGCGTTAAGTTTTGTAATAATTACATTATTTTCCATTATGTAATTATCTATCGAAATTACTTTATTTCCGATTTCAATTTCAGTTTTCCGAAATGATTTAAATTGCATAAATATTATAGTATTTTAGAAAATATTTTTCTTACAATAGTTGCTCTTGATTTCACATTCTTGAAATGTTTGTGAGTCATTGCTTTGCTCTCGTCGCGGTAAAGAAGAAACAATTTAACATAAATGTAGAGACAAGATTATAGCAATTCAATACTTTTATAATTATCTTTTTAAATTTTTTTTTCTTTTTTGCTACATTTTTCTTTTTCAAAGTAAGAAAAGTAGAAGATTGCAAGATACGGAAAGAATTTCATAAAATTGCAAAACATTAATTTTCTAGAACTTGTATAATTTAGAAAAGAATGCAAATAGAGAATATTTTTTCATTTTCCTATAAAGACATATATAAAGAATAAATTTTATTTATAAATTATTAATTTAAATTTAATATCTTATAAAGTACTTATTAAAAATAATTAAATAAGTGAAATTTAATTTTATTAATAAAAAAGAAATATTTGCTATTGCTTTATTTATTATATATATAATAATTCTTAATGAATTGTTCCAGAGAAAATAATTTCACATTTTAAATATAGTAAAGCAAAAGAAAGTTTCCAGTTTTTTGATGTACAAGCTGAATCCTCTTTTTTTAATAAATGAATAAATTATTTCAAATTTTTTTTTTAAATATAAATCTTAGAATTTTCTAAAGAATTTTGTGTCGTATTTCTTATGTAATTTTTTATATACTGGAAAAACATATAATTTTTATTTAAAATCTGGAAATTTGCTTTATGTAAACTGTCAAATATAAAAATTTATTCTTTATATGTTACTGTAGTGAAAAAGATAAAATATTCATTTTATTGAAGTGCATTCAAGATTTTGTGTCTATACGATAAATTAATTTGATGAAGAAATCTAATTAAATTTTTTAAAAATCAATTATGCAATTTTAATATCGTAAAACAATGGTTAAAATGAAAAGTATATGAAAAGTAAAAACGGGTAATTACATTCTAATGCTTTTAATTATTTATTTCGTTGAAAAATTTATAATCGAAAACCCTAATTACCAAGTTCTATAATTAGCAGTGAATTAAATTCTATGTTTGTAAATTCAGCGTGAAATAAAATACAAAATTGCAGGTTTTTTTGGTGTGAAAAAGAAAAAAATATTGTTTAGAAATATAAAATGTGTTTAGCACATCCTATATCGAGTGATTTTACAATAATTGAAACATCTATTTGCATTGTGTTTATGGTATTTATCATTGCATCATAAACGCTTGAGCAAACTTGATAGTGTAGTGTTACCAATAATGGAAGATGAAGAGGAAATCTTGGGTCGTTCGCCCATCGTAATTATTTACGTTCGTCTAATGCTCTCCCCACGCATGTCTTACACGCCTTTGTAATAATATACATATATGTTTAGTAAAAGTTTGCTGCGCAAAATTTTCTTATGGAGATAAAAGCACCGTCAGATTATGCAATAAATAAATCACTGGAATGTGTACTTTCTTACAATTAACAATTAATAGAGAGGAAGGAAAAATTAAATTGATTCCGTTTTCTAAAAGGGCGAAGGAAGTCCGCTTCACTGCACGAACATGTGTTCCGCGTCATTATAATTATAAAAAAAAGTTTATACTATTTTAATAGAGATGTAAAAAAAATTTATATTTATCTGAATTAAATTTAAAAAAGGTTCTTTTATTTTATAACTATTTTTATTTTTTTTTGAATTTATCAGAATTAATTATCGAAATATTATTTCTACATAAAACAATAATAATAACTAATATGACTTTTTTTTTGTTTTATTTTAAAACTAATTTAAATTTCTTTTTTAGATGATATCATGTATACAACTTGCTACATTTGCTACCAAACCAAGTGCGCACATTCACCAAACTTCTCTCGGCCTTTCTACAAAAGTATCCAGGAGAGAAATGCCTCAAGAGAGACAGAAGGTATGAAACTCATGATCTTGCCTACGGGTAATCTTCTCATTCAATTTTTCTTCTGAAGATTCTCCTCAACGTTTCGTTTTTATTTTATTTTTTTTATTTCCTTTCGTGACTGATCATTTCGTACGATTTCACTGGTAGAATTTTTTATTGTCGAAACAATTTTTTTTTATATTTTGTTTATTAATTTTTATTGTTATTTCAATTATATAATTAAATGTTATAGTTTTTTTTTTAAATTTAATTTTGGAAAAAAAGGAATACTTTTATTCTTTTTTTTGCAATATTATTAATTTTCTCTCTTGAAAAGGTATTTGAGAATTTTATCGATACAAAAGTATTTGAAAGGGATTAGATCTCGATTTACTAAGTGATATTCAACAAGCTTCTCTATGAGATAAATAACCGGGAGTGTCGTTGGCAATCTGTACTTTTACTTTCAATATACATAGTGTACATGATTTTTTTTTACATATATATTAATGACTATTGGCGTGAATAGAAAAAGAAACAAAAGTATCCAAATAACGAAGAAAGTAAAGCAAACTTTTTTTTTGTTTTTAAAAAGCCAAATTTCCTTGTACATATTTTATCTAACAACTTTTTTTATGCTTGTATAATATTTAAATATAACTTTGAGTTGTACATATAATACTTTAATAAGTATCCCTCGCCGAGTAGATTTAATATTTAATAATTTTTTGCAAATTATTTTATTTTTACTAGCAGTCATTTTTTCTTTTTATTTAAATAATTATTTATTTTATTTCTTTATTTTAAATATACAAAAATATAATTTAAATTTTCTCAATTTTAAAATATTTATTTTTGCCAAGTTTTGCATAAAGTTCAAAGTCAAGTAAAAAAAATTCCGTTTTTCTAGTAGTAAAATAAGTTTAAAAAAAAATTTTGTATTGCATTTTTTTGTATTATTCTTTGGTGAACCTATTCATTATTATATGGCAGTAACAGGTGCGGTTCCTTTTAATAGATTCGAAAGTTTCTTTAAACATATTTTGTACACACATTGCAAAACCTCTATAATAGTCACGTAAATATGACTTCAGTATTCATGACATGCAAAAAAAACAGTTTTCACATTTTTTCATTGAGTAACATATAGAAAAAAAAACGTGCGAGGGGAAATATATTTGATAGGAAACTAATTATATAATTTATATCGATGATCATTGGTTAATTAACGATTAGTTTTCAAGAGGATGTGAAATAATAATATTGTAAAATTAGAGTTAAATTTCAAAAGTTTATTGATCGTAAAAACTTGAATCGTGAAACATAAATTGCCGATTTAATAGTGAATCTGAGGCTTCTAAATTGTTGCTCCAATAATTCGTGGATGTCGAGAGCGCATAATTACCCTTGATAGAAAGCGAATTTCATTAAAGTGACTTTGAAGCGAAATTCTAAAGAAAAATATTAACGGAACTGTTTTTTATTTAATTATAAATTCATTTACGAACTTTACTATTCTCACTTTATCGTTTTTTTGTCAATTCTTAGAATGCAATTTATTGTTTCATTTTTCCTGATTTCTTTTCTGGAAATAATTATAATTTATTTAAAATTTAAGTTATTAAATAAACATTAGTAAATAATATTGTTTTAATAATTTTGTTATTTATTATTAAAAAGAGAAAAAATTACATTCGCGGTTATTTTACTTAGAGATATATCAAAAATTCTATTGGTATTTATTATAATTATAATTAATACTAATTACTAATAATTTATTATTAATATATTATAATAAATTATTATTATTAGAAAAATGACTTCAAACGAGAATAGAAACTAATTTTTTTTTTAAAAGGAAGTTAATTTTTCTTTTAATAATTGAATTGAATTTACTGGATGAAAATATGTGATGCACTAATAATATTCGAGCAAACAATTTGATGCACGCCATGATCAAACACTTAAAGCGAGAACTACTTTTGTTCATATTTCTTTTCATTATTAATATATAAACTTGGAAAAGATTCTCGACTTTTTAAAATGTTGATTTATGTTTTTAATATATTATAATTATATTATTATTATATTTATCTCCCAGAGAAAGTAACATCATTTTACTAACAAAAAAAAGTGTTGATTTAATTATGAAATTAATTAATAATTTTACAAATTCGCCAAATTGGATTTATTAACTTCTTTTGTTATTACAGCTATTTATTATACAGAGTGATTTTCATGTTCCGGACCCACTAAAAAAATTTTTTATTCTCAATTTTTTTTTTTTTTTAAACAAAAATAATAGAATTAAAAATTTTTTAGAGGGTCCGGAATATAAAAATCACTCTGTTGAATTATATTTAAACAGACTTTATTTTTTGTAGATGAAGTTTGTTGGTCCAAGTCTTGACAGCAGGAATTGTCTTCAATTTTTAAAAGCGGTTCAGTGAGTTACAAAATTTTTGTATCAATAATTTATGATAATTGACATAGAAGGAATTATAGTAGAATTATATTTAAACAAACTTTATTTTTTGTAGATGAAGTTTGTTGGTCCAAATCTTGGCAGCAGGAAAACGATGTCTTCAATTTTCAAAAGCAGTTCAGTGAGTCACAAAATTTTTGTCTAAGAGATAATTTATGATAATTGGCAGGGATATTCGTTGGTTTTTTTTTCAATATATTGAAAGAGATTCTGAAGATTAGGAAAAATAATTTTTATTCACGATCAATTAAAATTAATAAGCCAGTTTTGCTATTTAACTATAAATTATTCTATTCTCTTCGGAGAGACATAAATATTTTCAATTAAAGTTAGTGCATCAGCGACGATGACATGAAAAGTGTTGCATTCTTTAAGTGACTTTTTCTTGCTGTCGTTAACTTAACAGGTAGAGAAGGGCTGATCTCATCTTATAAATATTCTTGCGCTATCCCCGCGTCCCACGATTTCCGTCATGCGACTCTTCTGTCCAACTGCATTTCACACGATTATGAATTGCCGCAATAAACGCACACGTTGGGTGTCATTAACCTGAATTAACTTCATTTTTATTCGAAAAATCTATGTTAAGTTTATTTTATTCAAAGGTGTTTCAGTTTATAATGCAATATTTAATCCTTATTATTTCTATTTAAAAGATAGTTCGACTTTAAAAAAAAGAAAAATAAAGCAAATACATTTTATTGCATTGAAATCAAATATTGAATAAATTTTCACTACAGATTAATAAAGTTTATAATTGATAAATTTTTTATGAACAAAAGTTAAAGGTAGAGTAAAAAGTTTTTCTATTTATTAAAAATGATAAACTAAAAGTATCAAAAGAGATAAACTTTCGAACTCAAGTAAAAAGTATTGAATTCAAGAAGAGAAAAACATTTTCCTCTCAAAGTTCTACTCTAGTAAATGGAATAAAAAAAAAGAGATCGGTATATTAGCTTTGAATATCCGTATAAAATAAATTAATAATCGATAAATTCCAATTATTTTATTATTAATCTCTTGCATAATTCTTTTAAAAGATTTGAAAAATTTGATTAAATTTCTGATTAATAACTTATTTACTTTTGTAAATAACAAACTTAATTATATTTGTGGTAAAATAAGAAAAGAATTTAAATTTAAAATACTTTTTTATTTTCATTCAACAATTTTTTTTTATGACTAAATTGTACAATAGGTTTTATTTTTATTATAATGTTTATGTGTTTCAATGAATCTTGTTTATACAGATATATAGAAAATTAGCTACATTACTTAAGCACACTTTGAATGAAAATACGCGCAGGTGATGATAATGACTCTCACGCAACCTGTTAGGAATTGTTTTTGCGAAAACTATTGCTGAAATATCGACATGTCCACGAACATGAAGTCCTCCTTTCACAAAGTGACTCTCAACCTGTATATAAACATTCTTTGGATCGGTATATATATATATATATTGTATACCCATATAAAACATAGAATAGGTCGCGGTCGAGAACATTATCCATTTTTATTATGACGTAATCCACTGCCCTCTAGAATCGTTGAGTGTGCCAACAACTATTTCACCGAGGCTACAGCTTCCCCTTCGCAAAAATGTCACTCCAATTTCATTAACTGTTTTTAAACTTGTCAGATAAATACTGGAATTTAAAAATTTTTATTTTCATTAAATTATATATATATATGTATTAAATTTTTCTCATTAATTTCTATTGAGTTAAATAGTAATTTTTTGATACTTCTTCTTGACCTATATTTAATTTTATTTCCACTTGAAACTTTTTGAAATGTCGCTCTAGTTTTTGAGTAAAATGAGTTGAAAAGTAATTTAAATTTTTTAATGAGGCGATTTTTATCTGATGTTTGGAAAGACTTACCTTTTCTTCCATCCGGAATCGAGTTGAATTGTTTGAAATGGCAAAATTGTTTGAACCGAAAAATTATTGCCTAAAATAAGATAAAGATTGTTCTTGTATGCCTGGTCGCTTGCGTCTTCCAATCGATAAGTAACACTTGCTTGAATATCTCTTGCGAATTCAATATGAACCAAAAAAAGACTACAAGAAAGTAATTATTCGTAATTAATTAATTAATTATTTAATTAATAATTAATTAAATTCAAATTAATTCAAATTTATTTAAAAATTATATCATTTAATTACCGATAATGAGAAACAGGATCATTTGTAACAAATCTTATGCATCCACCTCCATCAAATGCAAAATCTTTGTGAAATTCCAGATAATTTAACATGACTGGTGTTAATTTTGGTCTAAAAATTACTTGTTGACCACGAATATTCATTATGTCCAGTCCAGTTTCATAATTGTATTCTCTCTCTTTTTTCACTGGATTTTCTTTCTTTGAAGAATCTTCTTCTTTAAGTGGTTTCACACTACTTATTCCCGGGTCATTTTTTTCCTCTTTGTCCTCAAGAACAGATACGCTTATTATTTTTGAATGTTTCCATGGCGTAATTGTTTGATATTTTTGTTTATTCAAATTGTAAAATGCATTTCGGTTTTCTTGTTTAGTTTTGTGACCTGGTTCCTCATTTGAAATCTACAATGAATTATTTATAATTATATTAATTTAATTACTAGACTATTAGTCGAATAATTAAACAATTATTTTATTTTTATTATTCATGGGAATTAAATATTACCTTTCCACAACTATAATGATTTATTCCAATCCCTCGACAGAATGAAGTTACAAAAGATTCATTCTCAAATATTGGCACATGAATATAAAGATACGGCATTAATTGAGCCCAAAATATATCTTCTACTTTATGGAAATTTGTTGGTCCAAAATATTCATGCGTCCATCCTTGTGCAAAAATTGCAACTGAAAGACCATGCTTTCGAATTAGTTTTATAGCCTGAAAAAAAAAAATAATTTAAATTTTACAATTTCAATACTTTGAATGTTATAAATTTTGTTTTCTCTTACATATGCTGAATTAAATCCTCCACCTCCAGGACAACCTCTTCCCCAAACATCCAGTCCCACGTAAACATCTTTTTCTCTATTTTCTTTTTTTGCCAATATTAAAGAACTCGCTAGGCCTCTCTCCGTCCAATTGTAATTCAAAAATATTCCATCACATTTCAAAAAATAGCATCTAAAAAATATATTTTTTATTTACTATTTTTCTTCCCTTTGATATTTATTATAAATATTTTTGAAAAAATTACTATATAAATAGGTTAAAAATAATTTTAATTGGATCTTACAAATTTTTATCGTTTAATTGATTTTGCCAAACGAGTTCCCCAGTACATGTCACACTATCATACCAAATAATTTCAGAACCTTCAATTTCTTCATGAATACGATCAGTTAAAAATTTGACAAAATAGATCAATTTATTTATATCTTCTTGTTTTATTTTGTTTTCGACATTTAAAAGCCATCCCTCAAAATTGTAGAATTTCGCCAATCGAACAAGGGCGTTTGCAAATTTTTCCGTCTCCTCAGTGGTTGCAAGTATTTTTTCCCAAATTTCAACCCCATCACCGTGTTCCGTGATTATTGTTCCAAGTATTTTGACTCCATGATTATGAGCCGTTGTTATCCATCCATATGGTGGAATTGTTATCAAATTATGGCTAAAATAAATGAATGTATCGATCACAGTCCAATTGTAAAAAACATATGAATCGTGAGCATCGCATCCATCGATAAATCTGAAAAAAAAGTAAAGGAAATTAAAATTGTAATTAAATTAAATTTTTTTTCTAATATGTCAAGAATAGAATTTAAGTTTTTTTTTTCTCTCTTTTATAAGGTAATAAAGAATTCTTTGTTCAGTGAACATTAGGCTTTCATAATATATATGTTATGAAAATATTGAAATACCTGTCTTCGAGATAGCCACCTTTCATATCATGACAGACAATAGTTTTTGGTTGTTGTTCCCTATCGAGTTTCTCCAATTTTTCATTGATTGTCTCGGTATTTTCTGTTGAAAATACATAATCGACACAATCTCGTAATTCAACAATATCAGGCCATGGTTTTAAGTCATCCAATTTTGAATAGAGTTCCTCAAGTGTTTTGAATGGTTTTGCAACACGATATTGTGTTTCTATCTCCATGATTTACATATGACTGCACTTGAATCATGTCCTAGTTCCTAAATAACATTTGCGGAGGTTTTCCGGTTTTCATGTCATTTTCACAGGAAAATAAATATCTAGAGCAAACCGATATCTTTTCTAGGCGACCGGAACTTCAATATCATAATATATGGCGTGTTTTGAATTTGTCGTCGTTATTCTTGATTGCTTTGTTTGATTTATAACATATTTTTGCAATAAAGAACATGACTGAAAATAAATAATAATTAAATTAATAAAAATTCGAATACATAAAATTGACTAAAAAAAATATTAAAATTTTTCCAAAAAAAAGAAAACAAATTTCTTTATTATTTGTTTTTTTTTATTTATAATTAATAATTGTAATTATTTTTTATTAACTTGCAAATTTCTATTTTTCATTATAATAAGAAGTTAGGTTATGTTTTGAATTAAAAAATTTATGTATGATAATTTATTATTTAATTTAATTGAAAAAAGTTTATTTCACTTGTACGTAAATGAGAAAAAAAATTTTCTGTCACTTTGACAGTTTAGGATTTTTTTCTCAGGGATTTAATTTTAAAAACATCTGGTACTTACATATAATATTTGATGGATAATTTCAGAAATGATTAATCTTTTGAGTTTTTATTGTTGTTTTCTTGATTGTTACACGTCATTATCTGATTCATCTAAAAAATGGAAAAACTTTAATTGTATAGGCAATTGCCTTATTTATATTTCAATGATTTCATAGTTGTAAACGCACGTGTCAAGATTCTTGAATGTGGAATTCGATCATTGGCTCTTTACGCCTACAGAGTGCAGCACTCTTCAGATTAAATGAAATTGTTTAAAAAAAATTCTATTTTTCTGTAAATTAATTTTAAAAAAATTAACTGAAAATTTAATTTTCCTATTTATTGCAATTATTATTCTGTTGCAATTTTACAAAATAAATTTGACAAATTTATGCTCTTATTATAAATTAAATAATAAATTATAATTTATTATTATTATTATATTTTATTAATAAATAATAAAAAATTTATTTAGTTACCTATTGGAAAATGTGAGATAAACTTTTTCAATTATTAAATAATAATGAAAATTAGGAAATTGGGAAGAAAACACCAAGTCATAAAATGATTCTTTATTTTGAATACAGATTTTCAATTCAGTTATAATTTATAATTAATTGTCTAGATGCTTATTTGAATACAGAGTAAAGATCGGAAGACGAGATCATTAACGTGTGAAAAATTAAAGATGATAAAAGATAATTACAAAGAAGTTGATTAAAATAAATTACTATGGTTGCAACTGTGGTTTATTTCTCAATTTTTTTTTTTTTTTTAAGAATAAAATTACTTTTAAAAAATAAACACAATTTTTCGCATTGAAAACATTTTTTAAAATCGGAAATTTACTACAATGAAAATTAGTTTAAAGTTTTTAATTTAAATTGTGTATTTTAATCAACTTCCTCGAGTCTATTTTAACGGATTTGGGTCCCAAATATACACAACCATATATCTTATGAGATTTGCAAGTATATTTCTTCAAAACTATCCCATTAATTTTTATTTTTGACATTGTTTTTCTAACAATGTGATATGATATCCTTGAAATATCATATCTGTAGTCATCTACATGATATCCTTATAACTTCACATTTTCACTTGTGAAATATAAGCTCGTCGTTTTTATATAATATTGTAGGGAAAAAGGAAGGGAATTTAATAATTTAAAGTTAAATTACTCTCCACACTAAAAATGTAAATGAATTTTTTTTAAATTCAACTTACTTAATTTAAATTTTTAAATTAATTTTCATTTTTTGCTTCTGATTATATTTACAAAAGAATAATATATATGAAAATGTTAATTACTTTGTGAATTATTAAAAGTGTGCACTACTATTTGATTTTTTTTTTTAATTAAAACATATAGTTTCATTGTATTTTTTGTTGGTTGCGTAAATTGAAAATCTCATAAACTTTTCTGAAATAAGATGGAGTTGAACGTTATGGATAATAAAAGTTTAGAATTCATAAAACTTGATATACTCTTGACAAAACAAACAAAATTCGCGAAAAAAAAAATTAAAATTAAATCACATGCAAAATAAAAGTTGATTTCCTCATGAATATTTATTTATATATAAAATTAATTTGTAGCTATATTCGTTATTAGGTCTAAAATTTTTCTTTTTAAATTTTTTTTTCTTCTAAAAATGATGAAAATTTCTAAATTGTAAACTCTTATACAAGTTTTTTTTTATATATAGTATTAATATTATATTAGATTATATAACATATATAATAATGTATGTTATATATACAATATGTATCACACAGGAGTCTATCTACTCATTATTATCATTATCTATAAACAAATTTTTCTTTTTCGTCGTCGTATAACAATTTTCATTCACTTTTATTCATTTATATTCAATATATTATTAGTTTCAATATAGAGTAAATCCACTTGACATTTATTATATATTCAATTCTCCTTTATTTCTTCTCTAATTTTCTACTTCATCGTATGAATGAAATTTTTTTTTTTATTATCTATATTGTCTCTTTTGTTGCATATTCGTTATAAAAGCAACAAAAATTCTAATTCTTATTTATTTCTTGGTTATAATTAAAAATATATAGCAAAAGAAAATATATATATATATAAAATTCGTTTATAAGTGAAAATTAATTTAATTATAAACTAATTTAATGGGAGATTTTTATTTTTATTATAATGGGGAATTATATTTTAATAATTTATAATTAAATTAAAATTTAATAAATTTTACTACGGAAAGATAAAGTAATAATGAAAAATAGTAATATCATAAAATAACATGCATTATATGAAAATTATTTTGATAAATAGGAAACAGTGATAAAGTGGATATAATTCGCAATTACTTTTTATAAATAATATTTACATGTATATAGATTTTTGTGAATATCGTTTTCCGATAATTGGTTCCATATGTACGATATGTAGATATTATATGTATATTTTAATATGATTATTATTTTGTGCTCCTTTTAAAAGTGATAAAATTATTCAAATATTATATTGAACTTCAATAATACGAACGAGATATAATATTTGTCAAATAATTATTTTTTAATTGAGTCTAAAGAGCATTGCACCTTTTTGTTTATATAACTCTTTTTTTTTTTTTTAGTATCACGTGGAGTAGAATATAACAGTCGATTATTCATTAATGCCCAATTAGTACGTTTATTCAATTATCATTCGACTATATGTGAGAAAATTTTTATATTTTTTTTTACAAAAAAGCAGTTAAATGTTTGCAAAAAATTCAGAAATGATCTCTAAAAAATTTTTTTTAGAAATATTAGGATTTGTAAAATTCTTTGAAAAGGTGACGAATTAAAAATTTTTTCGGCTTTTGAGTTAGGAGATTCATTTTATAGAACAAATCGTTGGGCTTTAATGAATTATTTATTAATCGATATGGGTAGATTCTTGATTGTCAAATCTACACGAGTGTATAAAGTAAAATTTTAAATGTCACTCTAGATTCGATTTTTCTAATAAGTTCTCGATAAAAAAAAATATCTTATGGATTTAAATACACTGCGAGTAAAAATCATTGAAAGGGTATAAATATTTTTTTTTACCATAAAAAATATGAAATAATTTTAGTTTTCTTAAATCTATTAATTAAATTTCAATTTGATCTTATATTTTGATTTATCATCTATATTTAAAGCGTCTATTCTTTCTATATATGTAAATAAAAATTAATTAATTCATTTTGAATATACAAGTTTTGGATTTTAATTCTTTGAATTAAAAAGTTTCGTCCATATCTCCGTTTCGCCTTAATATCTCAAATTCTACGTCTGATGAATTATCTGCTGAAATTTCTGATCTCAATGAGACACAGTCTTTTGGTGAACATTTGATTCGACCTTCTGGTCCACAATTACATTCCACACAATTTCCTGTTGTATGCGGTAATTTCTCGCCTTCATGATATATTTTTCCTTTAAATTAAAAAAAAATAGACAAATTTATTTATAAAAAATAATAAAAATAATTTTTTTATTTTGTTTTAAATTATATAATAGAAGAGAAAAGATTTTTTTTAATAAATCTTTATACATATATATATACCCATGATATTGCACGTGGCTGGTGAAGTAGGTATTTCATTCGTATTTGTCGTGTTGTTTTCGAAGTGGCTGTCTCTTCCTTCAATCATTTCTTCTGAAGGATCTCCAGAGGCTTCTTCCAAGTTTTCGATGGAGTAGTCGGTACTACTTTGAACGATATAGGTACTCTTTTCCGTGGAAGGAGAAGAACGATAAGTTTGCCACCAACAGTAAATTTCACCCGCGACACACAAGCAATGGGAATTTGTGTCGTACGATGGAATCTATTTTAAACATTCTTTATATATTATTTTATTATAATAATTAATTTATTGAAAAATGCAATTTTTCTAAAAAAAATTCTTCATCGAATTTTATTTTTTCTATTTGTATTTTACAGAATTCTTTTTCCTCGCGCATATATTTTATCGATAATTTATTCCACGGATTTAAATTGAAAATTCTTCTCTATAACGATTTACTTAATTCTCCACATTGATCAAGTTGCATTATTGTCTTTGGAATTTTTCTTACAGTAACAAAAAAAAAACATAGAAAGAATATTCATTCAAGTGAGAAATCTGTCAGAGTTTTTAAATGAGAATATATGAGAAAAAGCTCAACATTGAGATTTAAAGTAGAGAGAAAAAAAAAATGTCGATCGATGAATATTGGATGACCCGATTCGGATATGTGTAGTATTCTTTTCAAAAAAAAATTTTTGTATCGTTAATTGGATGAAGTGATAAGGAAACATGAATGTGTAGCAACTTGTGTAAGGCAAAAGTTTTCACATATGTTTTATAGAAGGAAAAAAATATTTCTTTTAATTAATTCAATTTGAATGTCAACTAGATTTTTCTCTTTCGAAGTATATATTTCAAATGATATATATTATATATAGGGGACTTTGTACAAATTTTTCATTTTGTTCATACTATTTGCTTTTGAAACTCGTTCCTTTGTTTGATTGACATATGAAAAGTTCTTTGTGACTCTTTAAAAAATTTTCCCTTTTAATTAATTTAAAAGTATTTTTTTTATTGATGAAACAATTTTTTTGTGAATTTTTTTTTAAAATATTGACAGCGAAGTTTTGATAAATTGCGGCAATAATTTTTAATGATCTGAAGAAGAATAAAATCTTGCTTTTTTAATCTCCCAGTTTAAAAATTCTCATACATATTACGGATATATAAATATTCATATATATATTTTGCATACGTTTCTTTGAGGCATATGTTGATGGAATAAATCGATCAATTTGCCGTGAATCTATAGCAATAATTTGCGCGACTCACCTTAAGTTCACTGAGTTGTTCGAAATGAATTTTACAAATTTTTGTTTGATCCGCTTATATGATCAACGGATTTTAAATGAAATCACAAATACAAGCGCGAGATAAATGAAATTTTTTTTTTTAAATTTACTTTTTATTTGATTTTTTATATTTAAAATTTATCCAGATTATTTTATTTGTTATTAATTTTTTTTTATTTAGTATAAAAAAAATTTCTAATTTAAAAAATGAAGGAAAGAAAAGTTATTAAAAATTTCTTACAGATTGACTGTGGGAATAGGCCTTGCCATCAACGGTACATTTCTTCAGAAAAGGTTCTTCCGTAATTTCCAAACCGTGCACGGAAATGTCAACCTCACCAAGCAAAACTTCGTCGGCCGCTCTTCCGGGAGCTGAAAGAATAAAAAATTGAACGATGATGAAAAATAGGCCATAGTTCAACCCAATTGAGAGAAAATGTTACCTCGAAATGGCTCTTAAGAGAATATTCAAGAATTGAGGGGAAAATGGTGAGTTTACAGATATCCGATTTTTTTTTTTATTTTACAATAGAAATTTCTTTTTTTTTTTTCTATATTTGCTCTTCAATTTCCTCTTGTGAATGAGAATTTTTATTTATATACAAAGGGATAAAGGGAATTTCACACTATTTTTTCTTTGCCTCTCTCTATTAAATGTGAAATTTATTTTTGCAAATGAGAATGGTGTTTTATATTTCATTTTTCTTTTGAAATTAACTTGACGTTTCTCTTTTTCTCCACTAAAAAGGAAATATTTCAATTTTAATATTCTCCCTTTTTTTTAGCTGTTCATAAAAATTAATTTTCTTCTAGTTTCAAATGGGGGAAAAAAAATTATTATTTATAAATAGAAATTTCAGTGAATAATAATTTAATGAAAGACCAGCATTTTAAAACGCAATATAAGAATAATATTTCGAAAATAGGTACGCCGCAGTTAAATAATAATGAAAAGAGAGTAGAGAATGAAAAATTGTTCTAAAAGCGAGAATTAAAGTTCGAATTTTTTTTTTTTTCCCTCGACCGTTTATTAAAAATTAATAATAGCAAGAGCGGCTTTTGTAGAAAAATTTCATTGAAACCCAAAGCCGCGAGGGCTTTCAATTTTCAAGAGTCATAATTTTTCCCGAAGGTGTTATCGCTTAAACCGAGGGGGGCATATAGGTAGTACGCGGAATCGAAATGGGCTCAACCTAATCCACACATATATACACACACAAATCCCCCCGATACCAAAAGGAAAGTTTACTTGGCGAATGTATCAGGTGCTCATGCTTTTCTTGCACCAGGTGTTCTTGTAATTAGAACACCTTTAGTTTACGAGGCATTTTACGAGTTTCCACCCTCTACTTCATGCTTTTATCATATATAATGATAATCCCCAGTAGGTTTTGGCAAAAATTATAATTTTTATCCCTGCATTTACAGGAGACATTTGAATTATGACATTTTTTTTTAATTTTTATTATTTTCAAAAAAAATAACCAAACTTTATATGATTTTTAGGAAATATATTTTTTTCTGTAACATTTAAAAAAAAAAACATCATCATATTTTTATTACGGATTTAAAGTGACAAAAGAAAAATTTATATAGCTTCATATCTCTCATACTCTTGGAGATTTTCTCGCACCATCTGCCATTCTTTCCATATGAAATGCTTTGATCTGAAAAAAATTATGTGCACTGTTCACTCATGTGAGAGTAATAAACTGATTTCCGCGCTTAAATCTGCTTGATAACAGCAATGTTTTCTTTTTGTAAAAATTTTTTTAAAAGGAATTCATTTAACTCTCATTAGTGCTGGAATTTAGTGAATTTGATAATCTTCGTATATTTTTTAGCATTATAGTTTCTTTCGCATTAAATTAAATTTTGTTTTCTCTTTTCTCTTTTCCTAATTTGCTTTTCTCTGTATATTCACTGAATAAAAAATTTATTTGATTCAAATACTCGGTTACTTGACTATTATTAAATAAATATTTACTTGAACCAAATAATTTAAATTTGAAGTCTTTTAAATTATTTATTTTTAATAAATACCATTTAATTGACTCAATAATTATTTAATAAAAATAAAAATTTATTTGATAATAGCCAAGTAACCGATTAATTGAATCAAATAATTTATTTTTTCATTGTATAAATTCGTTATAAGTGACACTGTAACATCGATGACGCTAGGAATTTTCATCTTTCCATATTGAAGTTGAAAACTTCTATATGATCAGCACTCGAATTTTGTTGTCAAAACTAATCTTGTTAAAACTTTTGATGAAATGAAATTTATTTAAATTAGAATGTGATTTGGGAAATTTCATAAAAGACGCATTGTTTTATCATAATTAGAAAGAAAATTTTTTTTAATAGCATTTATAGTTGAATTTTTAATTAATATTAATATAGGTAGTGATTTTGAAATTTATTTTCTAGTTTAAAGTTGTAAAATTTAAAAATTTAATCTGCTTTATAGAACGTGTTGGAAAGAATTCGCTCCTCAGAGCGATTTATAAAAGCTCCTTTTGTCTTCGTTGTTGGAGTGCACTTTTAATTGACTGCGCGCTGAATGCGCCCGAAGGTGCGATTTTATTTCATATTCCATTTGTAAAAAAAAAAAAAAAAAAAATTGCGGGGGAAAAAATTCTTTAAAATATTTTCAATAATTTTTGCAAAAAAAAATTTTTTACTTTAAATATTTGCATAAATATTTGCATAAATATTTACTTAAATATTTACTTAAATATTTACATAAAAATTTACATAAATATTATTTAAATAATTGTTATTGTTCAAACTTGCTGTTTTCTTCTCTCGTTAAAAAAATTATATTTCCATAATTTTCGTATCACCATTTTTTTTCTTTTTTTTTTTTTATTGTTTCTGCTCTGAACGATATAAAGAATAGAACCATACAAAACTCTTATTGGCTATAGGTTTAAAACACGAATATTCCTTGTGCTTTTTCAAATAAAAGTCACAAGAGCCTTGATAAATGGTTTCTGCATTTCGCTTGGAAATTTTTTTTTTTTTTTTGAATTTGTGACCTAGATTTTTTTAAAGTTTTCTTTGTTTTGCTATATGCATAGTGTGTGGAATGAAAATGGACTATTTAATAAATAGGCAGTAAAGTATATAAATAATTTGTGTTATATATTGATTTTATTGAAAATGAAATATTTTATTTATAATTAATCGAATTATTTGCTTATACTATTCGGTACACATTAACTTGATTCAGATAAATATTTACCATTTCCCTTTGGGATTTGCAATCATCTGCAATTCTAATCCGAGAAATGTTAATTGCGTGTATTGTAACCAATATTTGTCGCGTGTAATTTATATTTAAACAAAAAATTTTTTTTGTTTATTAAAAATTAGAAAGAATTAGAAATTTTAGATTCATAGAAACGAATTAGAAATTAATTCATAAAGATATTTTTCTTCTTACAAATTAAAAAAAAAATGATAGTTGAAAAGTGTTGTAAAAGAGAAATTTCACTCATTGCGGGCACATTTCAAATTACATTTTCGTTTATGGTTTCCGAAAATGGATAATGCAATTTCGGTTTATGGGATTTTAGGTACAATATAGCGATAAGGGTATAACTGACAAGCTTCAACAATGAACGACGTTGGCTTAGATCGGCAGCTGGGTGTAGTGATAAAGTTGCATTCACGCAGTTATATCTCGCGTTTGACTTGGTTAATTGCAAAATTTTGTTAGTGGACCATATCCTAACTTTTATCAAAATTCACTTTTTTATTTCTTTACGAAAGTTTGAAATATAAAAGAAACTATTCAAATAAATTATTTTATAATTTTATAATTTTTACTTCAAAAATTTGATAAAAAAAAAAGTTATTTCAATTTAATGAATTGTTGCTTTATTAAAATTTAATTAGGAAAAAAAAATCAGTCGTTTAGATTTATGATTTACATTTCCCTCCTAAATGTTGGAAAATAACTTTTCGAACGTAAATTGAGTAAATCATGGTAGATTTTTGAGGCAATAAACGTCAAAGGGTTTTGATCCTTAAAACACGCGACAGATAGTTCACCGCTGTCCGCAGCAGGGAAGCTGGGAATCGATTGCCAAGAAGAAAATTGGATGGCATACCGCGACTGCAAAAACTAATAGTTCTAAGACTCGGTGATGACAAAAAAAAATTGTTTTCCAATTCAGAAACATAAAAAAAAATATTACGGGAAAAATAAATTTTATAGAATTTATAATTAGGAAAAAAACTTCATCAAGAATATTCCAAGAAATAGTCTTTGCAGTGAAAAAAATTTATTTCAAATAATCGACTATTATCAAATATTTATTTCGAATAATTTTTAATTTAAATAAAAATTATTCGTAAATAAATATTTGATAGCTGATTATTTGAATAAAATAAATTTTTTTTTTATAGAAATTAATATTGTTTAATAGTTTTGTAAAATTTTCCATCAAGTGGAGTAATTATGCCATTAAAAACAATATATTGTAGGTGTATGTTTACATGTAGTACTGGAATAGAGTATTTGGAGTAAAATTAATGAACGATTCGCTGATCAAACGAGCTTGCTGAGATGTTTTCAAGGAATTTCGATGTTCTCAAACTTCTCTAAAGAGCTCATTGTGTCTTCTCGGGGATTCAAATTTATTGAAATTCTTGAGTCTATTGACAAAAGAGAGAAACAGTCTTAGGTTGCATTTTCGAATTAAAACCTTTCATCCTAATATTATTAATTTCATATTAATATAATTTCAATTCCAATTAAATTTTCTGAAAAAAAAATAAGTTCATTAAAATTTGATCAATAATTTTTTGCACGCAAAATTATAATTTTTTTTTTTTTAACAATTCTCAATGAAATTAGAAAGCAGTGAAGCGTGTTTTTCCTGTGATTTGATTATAAGAAAAGCGTCGTGAAAAGTCGTGTAAGAGATCTGATTAATCTCATTGTCTAATGAATTTCATTAAATTATAGGATTGCGGTGGAATAAAAGACAAATCTTAATTACCGAGACGTTTTCTTTGAATGTTCATTGTCTAAGGAACGTTTACAATTTGACAATGCGTCACATTAATTTAAAATAGTTGAAATAATTTTTTTTTCGGTACATTTTTTTAATTAAATTTTTTTTAAGTAAATAAAATTTTTGTCATTGTTTTTTGAAAAGAGTATTAATTTTTTTTTTTAAATTCAACAATAAAATTGATGGATTTTTATTTTTCACGCAAATATATACATATATATAATTTTCTCCGCTTGTATTTATATAAACGGAAATAAATTGTGTGGCCAGTTGGGAGGGTTCAATAGGATTGGTTAAATGCAATATCCAGTGTCTGGCACACTGAAAAATCAAATAGCTATC